GTCCACTGGGCCAGAGTAAATATGATGAATCAGTCTGAAGCCTGACCTCTTCCTCCCACGGATCCTCAGTCTTCCAAAGAACTCCGAGAACATCCGGCTGCTCGGAGAGGGAGAAATATTTCAACAAGTAACTTGGAGCAAGAAACACACAAACAACACGGCGAGCTCTAAGGAGCTTCACACTCTGAAGACGTTATGACCAAGTTTGATACCGGAGAGATTTTTATGAGGCATTAAAGGGGACATTTTAAAGACTGGAACACCCTGGAAGTAACAATATTTATCATGTACAGCAATAAAAGCATCTTTTGTCAGGAATATGAATTAGCAAACGCCTCTGATCTACAATGCATGGTCAGATGAGGCCTCAGAAGCTGCAAAGCCAAATCCACCAACATTACGCCTTTAATTCCAACAAAGGTAAATTAATCGAGGTAACTAGATGCATATTGGAGCATTGGTCTAACGACTGCATGTTCCTATGGGATTAACTATATGTGTACCACTTTATATTGGAAATGCAGCTACACATCCCAAGTTAAGTGGTAAACAAATCAAACTAAAGACCTTATTATAGATTTGCTGCATTTCCTAAGACTTGCCTTGACTTTTAAACATTTTGGCCAGGCCAAAAGCTCAGTGTGGGGTCATATTTTGGCACATATATATTGTTAAAGAGGAACACCAATTTTTTCACCAACTTTCTGCACTATTCAATGTTTAAGCTGTGAACAGAGTCATTCAGAGTGGTTTGGTGTGAAATACTCAGTTCTAGAGAAATGTACAGTCATTATTGGTCACAGTGGTGGTGATAGGAACCAGACGTCCACCTCTAAAAGCTCCCTCACAGAAAGTTACTACATGAAATGGTTATGAATTCACTGCCTGATGTCTGAGACACTGTTTTATGACCGTTTTGTGATGAAGTTTTGGCTTAAAATGTATTTGAATCCACTAATTGCAATCCATTCATGGCGGAGGGATACATGCAGGGTGTTGTAAGTAAAATAGTCCCCAAAGAAAACTTATTAATTTCAGATTTGCCACTATTTTACCATCATCAACATTACATATAAACACCCAGAAGACTCGTGTAGGTTCACTGGTGGCTTTGGATAGTAAATAAAGTGTCTATATTTGTGTTGTAGTCATGGCGACCCCTGGGTCTCATCACCACCACTGTAAAGACGTTTCACACCAAACTACTCCGAACGACTCTGTTTACATCTCAAGGAATGAATTATTCAGACATTTATAATATTTACCGTTAAACAGGAACATAAAGGAAAATAAATGTAAAATAAAACGACATTTGAGTCGTTTAAAACCCGGTTAACCGGACGGGGGAGGCCCGTATGTTCAGCCTAACGCCACTTGATTCCTGTCAGGTACCTTGTTAGCATCAGTGGCTAACAGCACAACACAGCCCTGAGGGGGGATTAATATAAACTCGAGGCGTGGCTCCTGAGGAAAAGCCCCGCTGCGTTTTAATCTCCAGCATCCACCTGTCCTCCTCTAGCCCAGGCTGTGAGACCTTAAGCCCGCGGGAAATTTCCCCTCGGTTTAGTCTCAGCTGTCAGTGTTTCTGTGTCCGCTTTTTTCTGCTTTGCACCAGAAGCCTCGACAGAAGGAGCCCAGCGTCGCTCTTGCTGCGTTATTTTTTTTGTTTCCCGCCCGTATTCCATCAAAGCCCGCCCCCTCCGAGCTGCGATTGGCTGCACTGTGCACTAGGATTGGCTAATAACTGCACTAAGATTGGCTAATAACTCATATCTATCATTGCTAACTCATTTTAATGAATTTAAAATCTAACTCATACAAAATAGACCTGTTTTATTGTAAATGATATATTTCCTTCAAAATAAAAGCACAGAAATAAAAAAGAAAAAATATTTTGATTTTACATTTTAGAGCCAAAACTAACCTTATTCCCTCATGTCCCTGGGCATTTAAAGCACAATTCATCTTATCATATCATACTTAAAATATAAATTAATATCTCATGACGTTTGCCTCTAAAATGTCCTCTAGTTTTTGTATTACATCACAGTGCACGAGTGGGTGGAGAGTGAGTCCACCAGTGTACCTTAATACTATGCAATGTACCACATCTGACAGCTCACCAGTTTCGTAGGGTATTTCGGTGAGGTTTGGTGAGGTGGTGTGCAGCAATGTTAGCTCGCATTTAACAATGACTGCATAATTCAGTGGATCCAGTGACGCACAGCAAATGGAATCAGGTTTGGGAATCATTTTTGTTTACAAGGTGCAATATTTATGTTTTTCAAAAACACCATTTGATTTTCTTATGACAAAAACAGCCCTGGATAGAAATATAGCCCATATATAGCCCATAGATCCTAATATCAATCATCAAGTCAATCATCAATTAGTGTCAATTATCAATCGTGATCAGTCCTAAACTTGTCCTTCTCCCAACTGTCTACCTGTGAGACTGATGAGAGCAGACTTTGGTAGCATTATGAGGAGACAGCTTTAAGTTTTTTCTAGATATTCTCGCTGTCCAAAGATTTCTCCTTCTCCAGCCCAGCTCTTCAGCCTCTTTCACCTCACAACGTCAGACAGCTGCGAGGCTATAAAAACGTACACTGTTTTGTTTTTCGTTGCTGTTTATCAGCCATGAACCACGCAACCAGTGCCGGCTCTACCTAATAACCGACATAAGCAGCTGCTTAGGATCTCGCGGCCACCAGCGGCCCCTCTTAACAACTTCTGGGTTGTAAGTCTGTAAGTTAAACTGTGACTTATTAGAACCCCAAATGAGCTTTCGTTCATCAGCAACACTCAGTTAGCCAGTTATACATGTGTGTAATTTACACAGCTTGTGGTAGCCATTGTTATTAGCTAGTTTCTCAGTTTACAATACATCAGCTAGCAAGATGGGACCCCCAAAAAATCCTGCTTAGGACCCCCAAAAGACAAGAGCTGGCCCTGCATGCAACTCGCCACAGCTTTATTCAGACTGCTTTACTAATTGAATACTATCCATACCAGAATCATGACTGCGAAACACTAGAGGGCGCCTGTAAGCGAGTTCATGGTGAACAGAGGTAAATTGGCTAAAAACAAAAGCTTACCACCACTATCTCCAGCCGTACTGCTACTGAGCGCTGACTGGATGGTAAGCGGATCAGCTGATTGGCTGATTAGGAAGTCCCATAACAGGTGTTGAGAAGTGTTCGGTAATATAATCAATGTTGAACTATTTTATGCTTTTTTGTGTTGAGAAAACAAAACGTTGTATCTTTACTGTAACCCACTGTAACAACACTGTAACTTTACAGGAAAAGATAAAATTCTCAACTTTGAATGGAAGTTATTTTTCCAAACGTTTTAAGCCTTTTTATTGGCCCATTCATCATTAAGGTTAGCCTATTGTAAATGGCAGCTGATATTTTCAAATTCGGTAAAAAATTACAAAAATGACAACGATCGAGATATGAAGGTTTGTTCCAAAAGCAGTGCATTGCATTTTACGGTATAAAAATGACTGACTATTTTACAAAAAATGCAAATAATGATTTTGCACAAAAACTTCACATTGTCTCATTCATTTCAGAGCCAAAAGACTTTATGAGTGGCGGCAGTTTTCATTAGAAATTCAGTGGCATTGCCAGAGAACTTGCAGTGAGGAGAATTACCACTCTGTAACGTCTTCCAGCTTTCTCAACTCTAGAGGGCGCTCCTGAGCGAGTCAAAAATGAATGGGTTAAAATGGAGCATTTGAGCAAAAATCATACTTTATAAATGCTTCAACATTTTTAATATAAAATAATACATTCATATCCCAAACACTGAACAGCATAAAACATTTTAACACTGCTGTTATATTTTTAAATGCTTTTAGATTCAAGTTACAGGAGTTACAGGAGAGGTCAGTGAGTGCAAACAGCCAATGAGCTGTTCTGCTCGCCAACCAATCAGCGCTCAGTAGCAGTAATGCTAACCAATCATCACTCAGTAGCAGTAATGCCAACCCATCAGCACTCAGTACCAGTAATACCAACCAATCAGCGCTCAGTAGCAGTAATGCTAACCAATCATCACTCAGTAGCAGTAATACCAACCAATCAGCGCTCAGTAGCAGTAATGCTAACCAATCATCACTCAGTAGCAGTAATACCAACCAATCATCACTCAGTAGCAGTAATACCAACCAATCAGCACTCAATAGCAGTAATACCAACCAACCAGCAATCAGTAGCAGTAATACCAACCAATCATCACTCAGTAGCAGTAATGTGAACCAATCATCACTCAGTAGCAGTAATGCGAACCAATCATCGCTCAGTAGCAGTAATGCGAACCAATCGGCACTCAGTAACAGTAATGCGAACCAATCAGCACTCAGTAGCAGTAATATTAGCGTTCTGCTGCCCAAAACCCGTTTGCTGTAGAAAAACTGAAAAATGCAGGTACTTTTTTTGCTTTTTTTAGTGAAATTCATTCTTCTACTTTCTAAAATTAAAGGAAAGCGATCAGAAACCATTCTAACGTTTCATTTTCAGCCGTTTAGTTCCATTCACCCCCATTCATTGAGGACTCTGGGGCGCCCTCTGGTGTTTAGCAGTCCTGTGTTTGATATAATGAGGGAAATAAGAAGAGGCCCGGCTCCTCATTAACCGGCTCTGGTGCTGCTCGGCATCAGACCGAGAAGAATCTCGGTGGTGTCGCCCATTCCTACCGTCTGTCCTCAACAGTTGTACAGCCAGCCTGCGAGCATGAGCCGTCAACCAATCGCAGCGCAGGACGGGCTCCCCTGCTGGCCAATCCGTGCGCAGCAGGCGGGGCTTCTCCCGAACACGGGTGGAGAAAAGGAGCAAAGAAAGACAGCAGCGTGTGCTCGCTGTCTGCCCCGACGCTGCTGCGCTCAGAGAGAAACGGGAATAAAGGCTGCGGGATCTGCGCTTTTCATCGCCCCGCACTGCAAATCTGTTTCATGCTCAGGAATATTGGACACGCACGGGTCACTGAGAAGGATGGGACGCTCCGAGGGGGTCTTGGGAAGGTTCCTCGCCTTTCTCTGGCTGGCCTCTCTGCTGGTGGTGGTCGACAGCCGCAAGCGAACGCCTCGGTGCCCCCCGTCTTGCACATGCACCAAAGATAACGCCTTGTGCTCCAACACGCGCTTGATTCCCCGGAGCTTCCCGTCGGATGTCATCTCACTGTGAGTGCCCGCGCGCTTATTTACCCGTACCTCCGTCTGTCTGTCTGTTCAGAGGGGCTGCAACCAGCCGCACGTTTTCTATTGACAGCCTCTGTTGTGGTGGAGACTGTAGCCAGGCGGCTGCCCACTGGGAGACCTGATCTATGACTTACATTAGCATATATGGATTTCCCTTATATACAATCTGTATTAGTCACATATGGACCATATACGTGACATATATGGCAACTTATTGGAAATATGGGACATATATTTCAGCCATCATACATCAACATATATACACATGCATGGATAACACGTATATCACTGATTAAAATAACCCTATATTAATGTTTTTATGGGTTATTACTCATATATTAGCTGCATATTACATAAGTGTTTTTGCATGTATGCTGCTGGTGAATTTCATGTAGATTTTTTGCTTTAAAATTCTTTTTTGGTGCTTGTATGAGAATCATATACCAGACAGACAGTTTATATGAGATCCATATCTTATGTCCATTATTTGATATATATATGTATATATCTATATATACCCATATATAGAGAGATATACACACACACATACAGGTTTATACATATATATATTTTGTAAATATATGTATGTCTCTCTCTCTCGCTATATATATATATATATATATATATATATATATATATATATGCATGTATGGCCATATTAGATTCCCATACGGGTGTATTTGGGGTGTAACACTTTGATGCGAAATGCTTCTGTTCTTCTCTTGCCTTCCAAGATCGTTTGTGAAGTCCGGCTTCAGCGAAATCCCCAAGGAGAGCTTCATCCACACACCGGCGCTGCACCTCCTGTAAGGTCCACATTCAGATAAGATGACCATTATCGATGCTGGCGCTGTACTGAGTAGCCTGATGATCGCCATGTTTTCTCATTAAGCCCCCCCCCGTATGGGGGTCTTCCTCTGCGGCCTCGTGTCCTTTCACGCTGGCAGAACATTTGGGTAGATTGGCATCTTCCTCATGTGTGTTTTGCAGTATATAGGCACACAGTTTCAAAATGTACCGCTGACTCCCCAGTCTGAACAGTCCATATATGGAAATTAACATATAACTGCCAGTTCAGTCTACAGCTCAGCCCATTCACGCTGCAGTTATAAGGAGGGTTTGAGCCTGGACTGAGGGCAGCCAATCAGAACAGAGCTCATTTAAATATATCAGTCATAAAGGCACAGAAACAGCAGCCTGTTCAATTTAAAGCATAGCTTTCCAACCACCAGGCCATCATTTACCATGGATCATTTGCTACCGCGCCGCAACGAGGCAGTAAAACTGGTGGGGGGGGTGTGCATGGGGGGGCATCGGGTGTGTGTAAGGGGGGTTGTGAGTAACCTAACTGCTTTTTGTAATATCTTTTATCTAAGGAATAGGCCATTAAAATGTTCATGAACTAATGTTTTGCCAGCGGCATGTCCCAATACAGCCTTGTGCATGCATGTTATTATGAGGTGCTTCCAGTTGATGAAGAAGTTAAAAAATGAACAAGCTGACAACGTGAACAAACATCGGAGCTGCAGGACAGAAAGGATAGTGATAACAAGGCCAAGATAAAAACGCATTGAAAAATATCTATTAATTTAAAAAACGCATTGAAAAATATCTATTAATTAAAAAATACAACTATATTTTACCAGACTTATTTGTCTTGAACTTATCATTTTCCTTCTTGTCTTGCAGCCCCATTTGGAAGTTGGTCATGTTGTGAGTTTGAATGGGCTGACAACTATATAAAACACAGATTCACAGCCATAGTGGATGCTAATGTGCCAGATCCACCGTATGTGGTATAAGCGGGGAATTAGGCTGTGAAGCCGTTCAGTACTTTGCCATTTTAAGACAAAACATTCCTCGACAAAGGCAAAACAGGCTCCACAGATCCATTAAAAACCTGCAAAAGGTTGTTCTGAGGGAAAAAGAGAGGTCATGTAAAAATGGACGGTGACTGTTGGTAGATAAAATTGCACAAATGTTATATGTGCGCCACAAGCAGAGGTGGACGATATGGCAAAAATCGAATATCACGATACTTTTTCACGATACACGATATGTCACATGATTTATTTTTACAGACATCTGATCTGTTGGAGCAGAAATAAAAGGGCCAGTAGAGCTACATTTTAAAATTACTACCAAAAACTGTGAATACAGTGATTTATATTCAGTATTTGCATACTGTGTTGCACTAAATTCAGTTAAACAGGACTAATTTTGCTCTCTTTGTAATAAAACTGGCAGTTGGTCGGTGTCTACAAGCACTGACGATATACACAGTATGTTCAGAAAGAATACTGTATTGTATTTTGACATCATTTATTTATCACGATAAAATATTGTGCCCAGAATTGGTTACCCCAGAACACATGCATGCCAAATGGAACTGGTATATTTCTCTAGGCAGCTGAACAGTCATGTATTGCATAGGACAGATTGTATGTATTGTTGTATTGTGTAGATGCAATAAATAAGAGAAGCTTTCCTGTCTTAGAGATACACTGCATGTCCAAAAGAGTCCAGATTCCTCTTAATTAGTGAATTCAGCTACTTTAGGAGCACCAACCACTGACATAACTGCTCACACAGTCTAATTTCCACAGAAAAGCATTGACCAATAGAATTCGATGCCACACATGAGCCTAAGGTCTCCATGCCCAATGCCATGGCTAGAGGGGTATAAAGCCCCCCAGCACTGGGCTGTGGAGCAGTGGGGCTGTGTTCTCTGGAGTGATGGAGCTCCATCCAGTACCTTTGGGATGAGTTGGAGTGATCCAGAACTGACCATCCAGCATCAGTACCTGACCTCACTAATGCTCAATCAAACCCTCACAGCAATGTTCATGGTGATAAAGAAATCCACTGATGTAGAGGCCAATAAAAATATTGGGCTTCCTAGCAGGCCTCCGTCTGCTTTAGCCAGCTAGCAGTGAAAAAAATCAACATAAGATCATCAGAAGAAGGTTTTCTTAGTCTTTAAACCAGAAAATCTCACTCCTAAGACTCCTAGGATTCTTCCTAAGATTGTGGCACTGTTGGGCGTGAATCAGAAACCATGTCGAAAGCCCAAAAAAGACCAAAAACATTTTTTGGTTAACTGAGCTAAAAACTCTAAACTGTATACGCTGTGATTTTCCTCACAGCTCTAATCATCACCCTGTTTTAAACTCCGAGCATGAAGCTAAACACTCACAGCTCCAGCTCAGTGAGACTCAGCAGCCCAAACTGCTAAACTCGGGGGTTCTGAATGTTATCGCCATGTTAAAGCGACGTGCACATTAGTTGTTACTCGTTAAGACAAGACGTATGGATTTGCGGTGCAGCCAAATTAAGTGAAAGCATAGTTTGGGACTAACTAGTGTAACTAAGGACTTAGTAAAGACTTTAACTTAAGTATAAACCTGGAGCAACCCAGTCGAGGTGTCTACAAACTTTTGGACACACAGTGTAGATCTGCTGCTGGCCAGGGAAATCGACACTGTCGCATCTCTAATTCCTTTCTGCTTGTCGTTTCTTTAGCCTGTTCACAGCCAATATGTTCGATTCTATAAATGAGGATGCCTTCCTTGGTCTTCCACATCTGGAATACCTGTAAGTCTGCTTTTCATCTTTCATCTGTTTGGTTTTTATGGATGACTGTTGTTCCTGTAAGCCTGTTTTTGTGGGAATAACTTTTATGAGAGACTCTGGGAACCCAAACTGTGTATGAAGTAGTCATGCAGGCCCAGACATGATCTCGTAATGAGAACGACTGGGGTTAATCATGAGAAATTCTGGGCTAAATGTGGGTGGGAAAACTTGTTAGGGTGGGAAGTGAGAATGAAATGTCTAAATCGATCCAATACTATTGTGAAGGTGGAGCTCAAAATAGGGTGGCGATGGTGTTCTCATCAGCATTGTTCAATAAAGCAGTTACCAACGAGAGGCTGTGGGTTACTGCGATTTGATCACGGGGAAGAGTGTTGTTAGGCACGACAAGTGCTTTAATTCAGGCCTGTGATATTAATGATGGAGCTGTTTAGGCTGTTGGCTCTTTCAGCCTGTTAGCTAGCTGACCAGCCCAGTTCTAGTTAAGAACATAAGTTGTCAGCCACTCAGTTTAAACAGAACCGGGTTCTTACTTCCTCAGTACACTCAATGCTCCATACAAGCAGCAGTAGAGCAAAAGATTAATCCATCAACAGCAGAAGGGTTTTTCATGCCGTGGCGCAGCGATACAGAGTTGTTGTGAGTCTGTTATAGATGTGCGTATATTGTGGATTTCACAATGGCTTCGAACGCAGCTCAGCCAATCAGATTTTAGGACTGGAACTATCCGTTTTATAATGGACAACCAGCCTGTCGTTAACCCACAGATGTAATGTAAGCTAGCATGGCTGAAAATTCCCCCCAAAAGCTCCAATCAAGCATGAGAGGTGTGTCATCCATGCAGAGGGTTTACAAGGAGTTAAACCAAATGGTACGTCTTGTAATGGAAAAATAATTCCAGTCGCTAATTCCAGCGTTTTGCTGGCTTGTTTTTGTTGGTTTTATTGTACTCTGGACGTTAAACGAGCAGACTCCAGGAGTTTGGAGGTGGTTTTTAAAGGGGCTTGTCCCTGTTTCTGGTGGATGTTGCCGAAACCCAACAGCAAAAGCTTACCAAGTTGTCCCCAGACGTGTGTTCTTGTTACGAGATCACATCTGGCCCTGCAAGACAATGTAGTAAGACGCATAAATGTATGATGTTTTTTTTTGTGTGTTTGTTTCTTCTTTCTTTTACAGGTTTATTGAAAATAATCAGATCAAATCCATATCACCTTTCGCCTTCCGAGGCCTCAAGTCCCTAATACACTTGTAAGTACTGAATATTATGCAACGTTATTTACTGAACCAGGCTCACTATGTTTCTTCAAAGACTCTCCAGATAATCAAGAACCAAAACAAGGGTAATTCCTTCTGATAGGATTTGAAGTTTCCAGGGAGGTTTAGGGAGAAAACTCTCATTTTTCTAAGAGATGAAATCTGCAATCAATTTTCGTCTTGGACTCGCGTCCCTAACAAGCCTCGTTCTAAAGCTCCCCACAACAGCACTGAATGCTGGAAGCCGCCCCAAGTCGTTTTATTCTTGCGCCCTGGCAACAAGACAAAGCCTCAGCAGATGTTTGATGATGTCTTTTTTTTTATACCCATTCCTGTAACGCACAGGGCAACAGCAATCTCATCAAATTAGGAGCTCCTGAGTGACACATTGGTGAACACATTGCCTCTGTATATCAGGAGAACCATACCATGTGGAATCCCTGATTGCCGCCCCAGGGGGAATCCAGTGGGCCGCGTTCCAGGTTCCTCTTCGGGGTGGGGTGATTAGCGTGGAGGGTATGGGACACTAGAGCCTACAGAGTCCCCCAAAAGAGGAAATAAGCAGCAATCATCTAAAGCCCTATTCAAATGGGATTAAGTTTACAAGGGGGCTTTCTCCCCTCATGAGAAAATTACAGGCCGAGTTACCTGCTGAGTGGGGGTCTGGTCTTTTCACATCGCTCTGATTTTCTAGACAAAACGTTTTTGACTGCTACCAGCCGTATTTAGTCTCTTAACATGCACACCCGTATAAGACACTTAACAAAATAAAGCACGATGGATGCTTTGGAAAATTCGCTCAACCACGTACTCAGTCGTCTCGAGCTCTACAGTTAGAGAGCTTTAGGAAAAATGAGAAAAAGAGACATAAAAAAGTCAGAAAAGTGAAGACTGATCATAACGGCTACAGATACAAAGCTTTACTTTATATTAAAACGTGCAATAGCAACGACTGTGTTACGCCAGTTCATAGAAAATACAACCCACTAGAAACTCACTCGTCCTGCGGCCATTTTATTGCCGTTTATTACATCTAAAAACTGTATTACAGCCAAGTAAACTAATCTAACCTGTATAGGGTTTAAGTCAGTAGTACATACAATATTTTACAATGGGTACAACTTACAGTCCTCATTGGGTGGGCAAAGGGCTTCTTTTCATTGATATTGTCTTTAATAGCCTGTAATCTAGTGGTTTTTACTAACATCACAGTTTGAATGTCTGCCGCAAGTTATTTGGCATTTTGGTATACTCGTTAAACTCAGGGTTTTATTTGAAAACGTAGCTGATATTTTTAAATCTACTTTGTTCACAATTTAATATAAAAATGAGAACTTTCTCATTATAGCTCGCCTAATGGCATCTTCTTTTCACTCAGTGCTATGAACTACTGGTCAACATTAAATCAGAATTGACCACCTTTACCTTGCATGTGTGGTATTAAGCATGATTCATGATTCATTATTTAGTAGACAAAATGATTGTTTTCTTGTAATGTTTAGTCAAAATCTAACGACTTCTGCCCACGTCTGAGCTTAGACTACATGACCGTGGAACAGCATACGGAGAAAAATGATATTAACCCATATTATCATGTTTCACCTCCGCTGAGAGAAACACTCTGCCAGCTCCCTGATACTGTGTTTTACTCAGAACAGTACAGAAAGGAAAAGGCATTATGGTTTTTGATGTACGTTGTTTTTAGACTGCTGTTTAACTCAGTAGGCTAACGCAGCGACTGTTTTCTAGCTGATGCTAAAGCTTCAGCCTCAAGGCTCTGAAAGACACAAAGCTTTTCAAGACTCCTTAATTGGTTTTCCTTAAAAATATTAACTCAATTTTTAGAAGTAGTTAGAAATTAATCATTTAAATAAATCAGTTTTTGTGAAGATTCGCCAGCTAAAATGCACACAGACCACAAAACGACTTACAGGGAAATTTTGTAAAATTTCTACATAACTTAGGTCACTGCAATGTAAACAAAGCCATTCAAAGAGTGTTGAAGAAATTGACTACAGTGGTGGTGATAGGAACCGGGGTCGCCATGACTACAACACAAATATAGACATGAAAACTATCGTCGTAGATATCAGGCAGTGTATTTGTAACCATTTCATGTAGTAACTTTCTGTGAGGGAGCTTTTAGAGGTGGACGTCTGGTTCCCATCACCACCACTGTGAACAGCTCTGACTCAGCAAGTTTCTCTAGAACAGAGCGTTTCACACCAAACCACTCTGAATTGCTCTGTGTACATCTTAACCATCTAATTATGTAGTAATTTTGAAAATGCCTGTTTAGATAGTGTTAAGACAGTGTTGTCAGACTCCAGTCCTGGAGAACCACAGCACTGTAGCTTTAGTATTAGGAGGACTGGACATACAACGGTACTGTATTTAGTCATAAGTACCTGATGTACTTGATGTAATACAACTACATACATACAACTAGCACTGGAGACGACAACATTTGAAAAGAAAAGACGCTAAACACTTTACTTAAGTGTAGCACTTGTAAAGCTACATGACACCAGGTTTATTATAGTTCACTAAACCTATTACTAAAATGACAAGTAGCAAAAACATGAACATGATATTAAAGCTATATTGTCCCCTGCAAAACTAACTAAAACAAAAAGCCTTTAGTTTTAAGTTTTTCCGTGCGTGAATGTGAGTTAAGAAGTACAACTCTTCTGCGTTCGGCTGTCTTTAAGGGAAGGTGGAGCAATGCTGAGCTCAGTCTGCTGTTGTGTTTATATTATTCTACTCTAATCAAAGAATCTGCTATCAGAGACTCCATCATAACACTGAAAACTAGAACTGAAACTAAATAAAAATTAAATGGTTACTTTTCAGAAATAAAACAAAAATTAAACCACACACCACAAAAACCTAATGTGAAATCACAAAATCAAAAATCAAAATAAATATATATATATATGTCTCAGAGTCACTGTCCAAAGAAAAATAAGTATCTCCAAAATAGTAAGTTTACAGGAGAGGACAAAAACACTCTTGTTTTTTAATGTAGGTTAATGTAAAGACATTATATTCAAAGTGATTTTAAAGCATTTGTATTTGTTTAATTGTCCTAAAATTTTTACACAATGTAAAGGACACTTTGTGTGTTGAAATGATGTAGAAAAATAAAAATCAACAAAAATGGAGATACATGGTTTTCTTTGGACAGCGACAAAATGTTTCCTCTATATAGATTATTCATCTTTCTCTCTCTCTCTTTCTCTCTCTCTCATATAACAGAGGACCCACGTCCGTTCTTCTATTCATAAAAAGTGGTGTTCTATAATTATGTCTGCAATTGTCCACATAATTCTAGCTTAATTATCTTTAACTGAGTCTAATTACTTTAATTAATCATGTCGGCTGATTGCACTGATTGTAAGTAATCAACCGTCCACATCAGTTACTGTTTGTTTGCTTGCTCGCTTGCTGGTAAATGCAAAAGCAAAGCAGATTCTATGCTAATCGTGAGGCATTAAGCTGAATATCTTATTGCAGCTGTATAATTGGAGTAACTGTCCTCAAACATCATTACAATGGAGAGACTGGATAACGCAAAGGACAGAAATGACTCATCAGATGATGAGAACATCTAAAGTTAGCAAGGAAGCTGAAAAAAAACCTCATATCTCCAAAATGGTAACCTTACAGGAGAAGGAAAAAACCTACTTTACTTTTAATGTAAGTCAATGGAACCAGACGTCTTTCCAAGTCATTTTGGGCCGTTTCTTTTCGTCCATTCATCACGAAATTTCCACACAAAGTAAAGGACAACAGACACTTTCAAATTATGATAAAAACTGAAAAACGACAAAAATGGAGTTATGAGGTTTTCTTCCGAAGACAGCATTATACTGCGTGGCTACTTTTCTCTGCCTGAAAAGAAAAAAAAACGTTGGTGATGAATAAAGATATATAAATTGCTGTTTTCTTTATGGTTTTGCTGGATATCTGAGATAAGAGTAACACTAAAGCCGGCTTGGTTGTATTTATCACCATGTAGATCAGTGGCTAGGCTAGCACGTCACGATTGCTTGACGCCACAGGGATTCCCCATAGTTGTATGATGTACTGCTATAACAAGGACTGCACAGCTTGACAAACCACATATTAAACTAATGTATTTAATTACCGACTAAATTGTTTTTAGGCCGGAATCCCTTTTTAATGTGTATCTGATATACTAACAGAGGCCTGACACAAACCTAATTAACAGACATTTCCTTAAACAGGACAGAGCTCATAATCATCACATTAGGTTGTAACAGAAGTCTCTGCTATTTTACTCTTTTTAAGCAAGGCTCAAAAAGCGGAGAGACTGCTTTGGGCTGATTTCGCTTCAAAAATAAGGATTTGTGCAGTGTGTATTGCGTCATCTCCTTCCTCTTTACAGCAAGACCAAAAGTACTCAACAGACAATTTAGCTCAGCAGACTTAGTAGAAAAGAGGCCTTATTAGAGACAGACACTGCGATAAACAGGAGACGGATCCAACATGTGTCTGTAATTGTCAAATAAAAAAAATTAGCTAAAGTTCATTGGGATTTACCACATTTCTGTTGTTATAAATGTAAAATTGTTCCACCTTTTTTGCCAAAAAACTCTTTCCTCATCTCTCTTTTGTCTCCTCTGACCATAAAACCCGGTTCCAGTCCAGTGTGGTTAGGTGACAGAAAAGGCTTTATTCTCGCACGCTTTCCAACTAGTTTGTTGGCATAGAGGGGGCATCTAATTGTAGTTTTGGAGACTTGGTGACACAATCTTCTGCCAAACTGAAACCGTGACCCTCTCTAGCCATCCTCAGGGCCAGTGCTTGGAGGCAAATATGCTTGCGTCCTCTTCCACACAGGTTCACTAGAACTCTGGTTGTCTTAACTTTTTAATTATTGCCCTAACAGCAAATATGGGCATTTATAAAGGTCTCTCTCAAGTTGATAAACGACTTGTCCCAAATGGCGCACTTGGGGTCCTGCAGTCCACAATTTACTGATGCGTAGGGTGTCTCATTTCTCATTTCGGAACCCAAAAGGGTACACAGGAGTGCCCTCTGTGCGCCCTTACTGCAGCTTCGCCAAGGACTGCAACTCAGCATTGGCCTCTTCCCCAAAATTACTGGAGATACAGGAGAGGAACAATCAGAGTGGATGGTTTTGTTTACAGCTGTTTGACTATCATGGCTTGTCATCTGAATTGAACCACTGTTGTTGGTCTATGTGCTGTTTTTGTTAAAACTGAAAGAAGAAGCATAAGTGAGTCAGGAGAAAAATAAACATTCAAAAAATATGGTGTCTGTCATGAGTTACCCTGAAAATAATGATTTACGTGTCGAGACGGATTTAGAGGGGAGTTTTTTAGACCACGTCATACGTCTTTTATGTATTAACATCATACGCATAGACTCAAAAAGAAGGTCTGGCTTGATGTTTAGGCCTCAAATGCAAAATCAACATTATACTGATGAAGATGTGATGACAGTAGTAGATAATTCACTCACATCCTCAGAAGACGCGTCCTTCACCAAGTTTTGACCGAGTTCCATTTGAATTCTCTTTCAGTCATCAGATTCATCTCCTCGGGGAAGGGGACCAAAGCACAACCTGCGTTACAAAATGTTCTGCATGCAGTTGCACATTTCCGCCAGAGAGGTCTCCAAATCCCAAGACATGATTAATGTGGCTTTAAGCAAAATAGCTCATTTGAATAAACAAGACTTCATTTGTGCATCAAAGTCTCTTGCCCTACAGATCTGCATGTTGTTGACATCACCAAACTATGGACATCAAGGGAATTTGGCCTCTGTGTCACCTCATATTTCTACCCCAGTGAAACAAGGAGTCATGCATGACCAGTTCTTGAAAAGTGAAATGTAAAGGAAAAATGTTCATAACATGTTATTCATAACAATTTCTAGGCTTTGTTAAAAACAGAAATTTATATATATGCATATAGAATTAATCATTGCGCATAAACAGGAAAAATTACTTTGTTCAAGTATTCTTAACCTTTTTTTTCCATTTGTCTCTTCACAGGAGCCTTGCCTACAACAACCTGGAGTCTCTACCAAAAGATCTTTTTAAGGGAATGGAAGCTTTGACAAAAGTGTATGTATTTTTGTAAATATCTATATACAAGATTAACATGTTATAAAAGATGGGCTAATGATAAAACTGTCCACCATTGTGTGCTGTCCAGGGACTTGAGAGGCAATCTTTTCAGCTGTGACTGCAAACTGAAATGGCTGGTGGACTGGATTTACCACACAAACGCAACCGTAGACCAGATATACTGCAACAGTCCTCCTCCGTTTCAAGGAAAGAAAATTAACGCTCTCAGTCAAAAGTCGTTTGATTGCGTAACAACAGGTCAGTTAACTGTTTTATGGAGTATTTACTAAATATACATCCCATGAATAAGAAGTTAGATCAGGATCGTAAACTAGCTTGCAGATTTCTCATTGCTGAAGTCTCTCGAATTCCAGTCCATTTCAGTGGAAACGTTCACCTTTGGTGGCGACCAGTATGTGGTGTTTGCCCAGCCTTTCATTGGCAGATGTAGCTTTATGGAATGGGACCATGTTCAAATGGAATTTCGGAATTTTGACAATATAACAAGTAAGTGACTTGCTGATTGGTTATGAATGTCACCTTGATGAGTTTACTTGAGAGGATGGTGTGCAAAAGAGTCAAAATGAGTTGTCTTTTAGTACTGTGGTCTCTGATTTTTGCCAAAGCCCTTGTAGGAAAGTCTGTTCACTCAACAGCCATCTTTGCAACGCCACTGGGCAGTTATTTCCAGCCAAGCATGACCATACTCCTCTCCTGTTGAATGGGAACAGACCTAAATGTTGAAAACTGCCATCAAATTACCATCTCAAAAACAAATTTGAAATCAGTGATAAAATCTGACAAAAACTTCATAAGTAGCTTGTAGCGTTTGGCTCAACTACGCACAAAAAAACTTTTTTTCGGATTGTTGCTGCTACTTGCGCAGATCCCTACAATGAGGGGGGCTTTCCCCGATCGCGGTGTAACCAGCAAGCTGATTGGTTCTGCTTCTTGAGGGGTGGGATTGAGTTTTCCCATTCAGATTTCAACCAGTGGCCTGTCTTCTCATGTATAATGTCTGTTTTTGCACAGTACTGTGGATAAACTGCCATGTGTTGTATCTGTTGTATATGTAGTTAGGAACATTTGCCACAACCAGCATTTGTAATCCAAACTTCTACAAATCTCATTTGGCTTAGTAATTGTTTCCTTAACAGGCACCTCAACAGTCACCTGCAAACCTCTGGTAATCGACAACCAACTGTTCATCATAGTAGCGCAGCTCTTCGGCGGCTCACACATCTACAAGAGAGACATCTCTGCCAACAAATTCATCAAAATTCAAGACATCGACATTCTGAAAATACGAAAGCCCAATGATGTGGAGATTTTCTTCGTGGACGGCGAGTCATTCTTCATCATCGCTGACAGCTCTAAAGCTGGCTCCACCACTGTCTACAAGTGGAATGGCAATGGCTTCTACTCCCACCAGTCTTTGCACCCGTGGTACCGTGACACCGACGTGGAGTACCTGGAAATCTCCAGCAAGCCGCACCTGATCTTGTCCAGCAGCTCCCAGCGGCCGGTCATCTACCAATGGAACAAGGCCACCAAGCTGTTTGACCGCCGCACGGATATCCCAGAGATGGAGGACGTTTATGCAGTCAAACACTTCAAGGTCGACAACGAGCTGTACGTCTGCCTGACGCGCTTCATCGGCGACTCCAAGGTGATGAAGTGGGACGGGAACATGTTCAATGAGATCCAGACCATGCCATCGCGGGGCTCCATGGTCTTCCAGCCGTTTTCTGTGGATACCCGGAAGTACGCCATCCTGGGCAGCGACTACTCCTTCACCCAGGTCTACCGCTGGGACGCCAAGAAAGGCCAGTTCATTCACTTCCAAGAGCTGAACATCCAGGCTCCCCGAGCATTCTCCCTGGTTTCCATTGACAACCGGAAGTTCCTCCTCGCTTCCAGTTTCAAGGGGCAAACTCGGATATATGAACACTTGATCCTTGACTTAAGTGATTGAATGTGGGAAGGGGAGCAATACCGATAAAGCAGTGATACTCTATAGCTTGAGAACGGAGGACTTGGGTAGCAGACTACATGCATGACAATGCCTTTCAGTAGGTATAGCCATCAGGATGTCCACCATCGCTTGAAATGTCCATCTTGTTAAGCCATGCTCTAACACTTAACTCAGTGTACTCTTTTCTTCACTCTTAAGATCCTGTAAGTGCAGATTTTGGTGATTGTTGTAAATAGAGCTACTGAAGAAACACATTTTATTCTATTTATTAACCTATTTCAAACAAGTAAATCTGCCAAATTAAGTGTTTACAGTTTTTCCATCTCTTTCCATTTGTAAACTGAATCGAATATGTATTATGCGTTTTGTAAGAAGTAGGGCCGTGCTAGTAGAAGAATTTGATATGAAGACATTTTGAAATACACGTTTTTATTGATATTGGTTTGTATGATCTGTAAACCTCGAACAACGCAACTAATGACACTGTTTTTCTTAACAAGATCCAGTAACAGTTCGATTCTGACTCACTTTTTCTCTTGAGTAGTGCTACTATGACATCGCTCTAATGGACCAACACATTCGCCACACATGTATGCAATTCATCATGCCTGCATTATTTGGAAGCCAAAGGTCAAGACTGAAGCCATGGTTTTAACTTTGAATAAAAACTTAATTCAATACTGTGTGTTTAATTTCATGCCTTTTTTAAACTAAGTAATGACCGGAAGGATAAAGCAATGGCTTGTTTGATGGTCACAGCAAATCACATTTATAGGAGATAACAAAAATATCAACGACATTTGAATAATCAACACACCCAAGTGGATTTCATGTCTGTGTATTTATGTCAGAATTAAATATTAAACAGTCTAGTGCGTCCAAGGATGTTTGCTACTATTTCACAGCAGTTCAGCAGTTTGGGTCATGGCCCACACAGTCACCCTGGAATAGTTCAGTTTTTGTGGCACTCAAGCACTGCCTACAACTCCTTGGCAGTGATGTGTTAACACACACAGACAATACTGGCCTTGTTGCCTCAGATGATCAACAGGAAAGGATGTGTTCATGAAGGATCCATGCTCTGGCAAGAGTGTTGCCGAAGATGTATAGCTCAGATACTCTTGCTTATAGGAATCTGCTACGAAGTGGGAACCTCTCATTTCTCATTTTTCTAGCTGTACTAATAGCAAAATATGTAGGAAAGCCACTATTTGCTCTCTAGAGGTCTGGTACCCCACAAATATTGGGTTTTGGGCCATTTTTTCGTGTACAATATCAGGCTTGGGTCAGGCTAGGATTTGTTTTATAATGAGCAATTTTTTGTAGTAGATTTGTTTTTATGTGAAGGATTATGTCTACATAAATTTCATGTAAATCTGTGTTGGGTAGTTACTCAAAAAAGTAATCCATTACAAATGTAATGGGATTACTTTACTCATTACTCGCTACTTTAATTCTAAAGTATGTCACGTTACTCTCACAAACACATTCAAATCTGTACCAACTAAGAAGTACAAGGGAAAACCCAGTAATCCTTTCAGTACTTTATTCAGACAGAAACATAATATTCCAGTGGACATAGTTTTAAAAGACCTCCCACAATCCTTGCTTTTGAAAGAAGACAGAGTCGGTAGTGCTGATAAATTATGAACGGCTGACGCGGTTTACGAAACGAGAAGCGAGCCACTAGAAAACAGCTGCCTTAAATAAAATCTTTTCGAATAAAATGTAAAGTTTACAAAGACGTTTCAGAGCGAAAGTCAACTCTGGCCTATTCAGGTGAGATTACAGATCTTTTCTTCAGCATTTTTATCCATCAGTTTCATTTCAGGGTCGTTAGATAATTTGACAGATCACCGAGTTTATTTACATTCACAATTGAAATTTGTCGCAGGTAGCACAGGCATTCGCAAATTATGTGAAAGAACAGTCATAAATAATCTACATAGAGGAAACACTTCGTCACTGTCCAATAAAACAAGCCATGTCTATTTTTGTCGATTTGAATTTTTCTACACAAAAGCTGTCTTTTACGCTGTGTGAAAATTTCATGATGAATGGACCAATAGACATGGACCAATAGACATTGACTTACACTGAAAGGTAAGAGTGTTTTGCCCTCTCCTGTAAAGTTACTATTTTGGAGAGACTCGTTTTTCCTTGACAATATGTTTTAAATGCATCTCACATAATTAACATCTTTCTCTTACCCTGCGTCCCCACTGGTAGCGACCTTTTGCCTCTTGTCACTGATTGTTCATCACCGGTGGGCGTTTCTGAACTCGAACTCATGTTGGTTGCCATGGTTTCACTGATGCCAAGCACAAATCAAATGCATTCCCACTAAAATTAAGAATCCTGGTGAGAAATCGCTTGTGTGCTTATTTTTATTTAATTCCTGTGTCTGTGCAGTCAATGTGTGAGGAAAACAGTATTTGGTCTTTGCGATTACTGCCTATTTGTTGCGAAAGCACTTTCGCCATTATTCCATCTCTAATAGGGACAATTATCTAGGAACCAAAAAAGGAGCGTACAGTTTCACAGTAGCAGAGATAAAGTGCGTACTATGCTGCTCAATTTCTATTGGTAGTTGCCACGTTGCTTCGTTCTTTATTTGCATAAAGCTGAACTGGGGCTGGAGGTTTGGGAACCAGCCTTGTGACCGGAAAGTCACCGGTTCTTTCCCCTGAGCCAACAGGACGAGACTGAAGTGCCCTTGATCAAAACACCTAACCCCCAACTGCTCCCCCACGTGCCGTGGATAGGGCTGCCCACCGCTCCGGGCAGTTGTGCTCAATGCCCCCTAGTATGTGTGCATTCACTAGTGTGTATGTGGTGTTTCACTGCACATTTCCCTGTTGTGGGACTAATAAGGGTAACGTAACTTTGTTGCATCGCTGACTCTGCCCACTTGGTCGCATCACTGCCGGTATGAACAGCCATGAATAATCTATATAGAGGAAACATATCATCGCTGTCCAAAGAAAACAAGGTATCTCCGTTTAGCTTTTGTGCTCACAGTACAGAGTGATATGACGTTACTCTGTACTATGACCACTGTGGATTAACTCGGGTGTTGTGGTCACAGTGCAGAGTAACATGTTACAGTAACGTGATTACTTGTAACATGTTACTCTGCACTGTGACCACAACACCCGAGTTAATCCACACCACCCAAGATAATCCATCTCTTTTTGGGTTTCAAATTTAGCAGTACCTGTCAGACCTGCTCAAGCCGGGTCTCAAAGTCTTGGGTGTACGGGTTGGATTCGGGCCTCAACTTCACGCTTGTGCAGACCTCTGGCGCTCTCTGCATTTAAATGAAGACAAGATACAGATTCCACAGACACAGACTGAAGATGTTTCAGCAGAATACACAGTAGATATAAGACACTTCAGCTGGTTTCGTTCACAACTTTTGAAACTTACTTTGTGAGGCTTTCCTTTTACAAACAGAAGTCAACAGCAGTGACCAGCACCTGTTCAAACACACATCGCTGTAAATCTCATAATCTTCATAAAAAGAGGCCGTCATGTTCTGTTTCATTCAAGTAAGTTTAATATTGTGCACCAGAGATATGGAATCAGATGGTCCTGAACAGCAGTTGTATATGCAAGGATAACAGAATGCAACATTTCATTATTCTCATTTAGCGCTTCTCCGCAAGAGCATCATACAAATTGTTTTGTTTTTCGCTGTACGTCAAGCCCTTGATGATCAACCCATCAATCTATTCTATCCATACACTTCTCACAACTGTTCTGGTCCTGGATCCATTTGAGATGAATTCGAGTGCATCGTTCACTATATTTATGAAGCATCTTCCAGCAGAACTTAATGAACCCTGAAGGTCGGTTACAACTTAAACCTCCTCATTATGGTCAGGAAGTTGTAGCTTTTGATACTTTTTAACGTCAAACCGGTCATTCATTCATCCTCTTTCGCTCTCGTTCTCGCTCGCTCGCTCGCTCTCTCTCGGGACAGACGAGAAACGCAAACCGTTCCAGGATTGCAGCAAAACGTGTTTCAGTACAAAATATCAAACAAAATATACTAACACTTGTGACAATACATCTTTGAAACATACCTAGCCACAAAGGAAATAAAAACAAATATAATTCCTTTCTTCTTACAATTTTTTGTTGTTTTTTTTTTTATCAAACACAGTGAATGCCTCCGTAATACAAAGCAGCACATTGCAGGCATAGTGTAATGGAATAAATACAAGAAATGCTAAATATATGCAGCACAGACAAGCAAAATAAACGGAAACTAACTGTACAATCACATTGTGGTCCAAAAAGCTACAACAGAAGAAAATAATAATAAAAATAAAACACACAAGAACAGAGTGGATCAAAAACTGTCCTGCTTCGACAGGTTGTGCAAGTGTGCTAGAGGCCTCGTACAACTCAACACATATACATAGTGCATTAAATTCTTGTTCTGAAGTGAAAATGACGACTCCTGTTTTATTCCCGACGCCTCTGGGCATCGTCCACCTTTAACTCTCACTCTTACGACTTCTGTTCACAACATAAATCTTGATCTATGCATGAGTAATTTAAAAATCTGCACAGCAAAGATTAAGGTTCTAACCGATGGCAGTAACAATAAGAAACTAAAACTGTAAAAACGTACCTAAACATTAAAGGTATATTATATATATTTATATATATATATATATATATTTTTCCCCCTGTACACAAATGAAAACACGCATACCTGCAGATGTTATATGCATATTCATATAATACAGCACAGAGCCTTTGATAAAACAGCCACTTTTCTCTATATATTAAACTGTACATGTCAGATAGCAACATTTTGGTAGCTCAGCCAAACAAATGAAAGTCAGGTAAAGCAGGTCAGGTAGCCAACGGTTCTCTCAGTAGAAGTGGATGAAGCTACCCCGGTTTTTTGTCAAGTAATAATGTGCTGTAGTTGTTAAGTTCTCTTTACCTCAAATATGACTGAGTGTTTTGCATCAACTCTTGCTCTTAGACAGCTTCAATACAGCTCTGGATAAACTGGGTGATCAGATATTTTGCTTTTGTGAGAAGTGAGTGTGTTTTATGGGCAGTAACACCAAAAAATGCGCTTACATTTTTAAATAGTTTGATCAAAAATGCTAATGCGTCAATGAAAGCAAATTGCTACCAAGCAGCTAGTCTCGCGTGGCCTGATCTCGTAACGAGAACGTCTGAGGACAACCGTGAGAAATTTGGATGGAAACAAACTGAGTGTGAGATCTTTAAACCAATCCAACACCTCATGAATGCTGAGCTCAGTGTAGTGGGTGAAGGTGCGCTCGTCAACACCTGATACGTTTACATGCAGCCTGATAATCCGTCTATTAATCAGAATAGAATATGTCCATGTAAACACCTCAATCAGAATAGTCTAGTCCGATTGAGCCCATGTGGAATACAGTTTCTATCCGATTGATCGAGGTGGGTAATCCTGTAAATAATATGTTAAATAGAAGAATAATATCCATGTAAACGCCTGTATCTGATTACATTCCCTATCTGAAAGTTTAAGTACGTTCTGATCATGTTCGTCGCGTCATAGTGAAAGTTTATACCGTTCAACATGGCGGAGCAGAAACTGGTCTGCAGAGGAGACGAAGTTTATGCTCTGATCTTTAAAAGACGGCGGTGGGACGGACGTCCAGCTTATGTGTCTCAGAACACGACGTCTTCCTCTCGGCCTTCTTTAATAAGGACATGTGAAGGACGTTTTCCTGAGTCTGACATCATTTTAAAGTGATTAAAAACACAAGCACTGCTCACTGCTGCTCATCTCACTCTGACTGGACTCGTGACTGGTTGTTATGGTAACGCCTACACTAAGTGGTTCCCTGCGCATGTAATTTTGGGATCGTATTACTTGTAGTGAGCATGTAGACAGAGATTTTCATCAGATTGTTGAGGGGAGTGAGAATAAACACCTCAGTCTTCATCTATAATCAGAATGTATCCAATCAGATTGGCAAAAATCTTTGCATGTAAACACAGCCAATGTTTGACTGACAACAAGCCTGTTGTTGGCCCATGGATTAGCATGTAGATGTGTGTTGCTTATCTGAAGAATGAAATATATGGAGTAGAACTAAATATTACCTCTATTAGGCCTGCTAGCCATCAGTGTCACTAACTGTACTTCAGACATTAAAAGAGGATTTATGAATTTGGGGGTGGGGTTTAAGGGGGGGAACACCCATAGATTAACACAGAAAGATGCCACTTTTGATTCAGCCAGGCACGTCAAAGGCGCCGCTATCATTAGGTGGTCAATACCGCTGCCAGACGGCATTCAGTACAGTTACAGCGTTGCTGTTTAAGAAACTTTACTATTTTAAAGGGAAACTCCACCGATTTTCCAAAAATTCTGCATGATTCAATGGTTAAGATGTAAACAAAGTCATTCAGAGTAGTTTGGTGCAAAATGCTTAATTCTAGAGAAACTCAGAACTGTTCACAGTGGTAGTGATAGGAACCAGACGTGGATAGTCTGGTGGATAATTTTGGACAGTCAATAAAATTATTTGTATTTATTATTTGTCATGGCAACCCCTGGTTCCCATCACCACCACTGTAAAGAAATCTGAATGATTTCACACCAAACCACTCTGAAAGACATTGTTTACATTTCTAACTCTGAATTATGCAGGCATTTAGAAAAATTGGTGGAATTCCCCTTTAAGTACATCACTCAGAAAGATGGATAGGATTATATGACGGGAAGAAAGTAGCAATGTTTGTGCAATGTTCATGTACCGATATAGCCATGATGAAGCGCACACTGGTGTAACCGGTCTTCTCTGATTTTATGTCACCTACACAGGGCGTCTTAAGTGAACTTAATGTCAACTTGAGGTGAAACTGTTGTGATTGAGCAAATCCAGCGTAACTCCAGCCATAACCGTTTACATTTCCATGTGCATGAAGCTGAAGTGAGTAATGATTGATAGCTTTGCTGATTTGTGACACTACTGTGACACAAGTGTAAGTCCTTACACTTGGCATGTATTGTTATTATTCGTAGTTTTACGACAGCTAGTTAAGTCTTAATGTCTAGGCACATGTTAAGATTTTTGAACATGTTGACTGTGTCGCATTTGATCTGCTGTCTCTTTGCTCAAGAGGGATCCTTCCACTTCCTGTAAGCATCAGATAAACACATACATGTTCATCTGAATATTACTTCAATCTGTGACTTATGGCTTTTATGATCTTCCTTATTTTAGTTTCCAACCTTTTGTGTTTAGCTGTTTTTAACCAAGGAGTTACAAATATAGAAATTGGAATTTTAAATAATCAGCAACATGCAGAATATGTGTTGTTATGATTAGCTGATTCTTATTATATGACTACTATTATCAAAACAAATTTGGTGAAAATGAGTAATACGCCTGATTTAATCATCTCAATACAGGTGTATTTGTTTACAAGTGGAGTTTGACCAATATAGCAGCTGAGAACTTCACACAAGCTGGCATGTATGTATGTATATCTAGCACACCCTTCTCAGCGGCGATCCACCACCAAAAGCTTATGAAGTTGTCCTCAGACGTGTATTCATGTTGCAAGATGACGTCAGCCTCCTCGAGACTACCGAGTAGCACGATCAGATTTGCATAATGCTAACTGGTGGCTGCTCTCAGTCATTCAACGTTGGCATTTTCTTCCTTCTAAGAAGGCAGGTAAAACCTTTATTGCAGGCATGCTCGTTGAGCCACTGTGTTCTATAGATAGTACTCAGCAGGAGTTGTTGTTCAGTGAATCAGAGCTCAGGGTTTTCACGTTTAGCATCACCACTGTATTGGTCACAATGGCAGCTCTATACTCTCAAAGCAGTACCAGTTACATTCTACATGGTGGCTATTGCACAAAACGTTCACACCCACCTGATCCAAACGCCACAGGGAGATAGCCACGTTCGCACCACAGCTAATTACAATCCGCTCCCATCAGTTACAAAATAACATTAAAGTCTGCCGCCGTCATCAGACTCTGAGATGATGAACCTATGTGTCTGGAACCGAACGCTAACGGAACAAAGTTATACAGAATGAGCACTGCGCGTTCTCTTCCTCCCAACGCGCAGGTTTGTTAAGGCAGCTCCTCGGGTCTGGCTGCTTACTTACCACTGCAAGCCTCACCCCAGCCCATCAGAGCCATGTCCGGGTTCCTCTGGGTTCCTCTACCGTTCTCATAGCTTTAGCTCATTGGCGATCTTAGAGGCGATGTTCTTAAAGGCGATGGACGTCCCCGATATCCTCTTGAAGCGCACGCCGTTGAGCGAGAGCCGGGGCAGCTTGCACACCTCCATCTCCCACTGGACCAGGTTGTCCTGGCGGGCGTCTCCGTGCACGCAGAACAGCAGGAAGCGCTCACGCTGCTCGTAGTCGCAGTTGTTGGCGTCCAGAACCTTCCGGATCTCCCGCATCATGTCGCCCGGCTCCATGGACGAGGTGGTCTTCATGCTCCACGTGAAGCGAAGCGAACGCGGCTTGGAGTCCCGGCTCTCCTCCCTCGAGTCCCCCGACGTGCTCCTGTACGCAGAGAGGAGAGGGTCAGTGGGTCAGGCTGGCATTGGGTTCTAAAGAAGACCCTAGATACTATTTTGGAGCATTTATGTGTTTTGTGATTCTTAGTGAGATAAACTCGTACTGATTACAAAACTGTATATAACGGAAAAAACTTCAAATAATTACAAGCTATAGAAACAGAATATGACCAACTAATTAACACATACATTCACTAAATGCTGCCTGGACAGATTATAATGTAGATTTGCAGCCTAGCAAAAAAAAAGCTGGGCTGCAAATGAAGCAAAGAAAATGAAATCTACTCTCTCCTAGAGACTAAAATGCAGAAGCTTGTCTAGAAAAGTTTTTTCCTTTTTTTATTGTACTTTCTCAATGGAGACATATTTCTCCCTCCTTTTTATTCTTTAAAAGTACCTTTTCCCCCATTTGTAACATTCTTAAAACAAAAAACTATATACTTTAAACCTTGAGAAGGGGTAAAAATAAATAAATGGAAAAAAACACCCTAAAAATTAAAACTTTTATAGACTTTTAACCATAATTTTACAAATCTTCAGTCTAGTAGAAGAAGCAATTTTTTGCCAACTTTTTGCCAAACTTTTTTTTTTTAACTAAACGAACGTAGAAAACCACTGGATGTTGACCTACAAACATCTATAGCTTAAGAATAGCTCTATTAGTTTGCACTGAAGTCCCTGTAGTTACTGTTTAATAAGCCTTCATATGAAATAAACCTGGAATGTTAGTGGGTTAACAGTGTTACATGACCTCTGTGCAGAATATAGTTATCATTATAATTATTATGTGATTTTTGAAGCATTCTGAAACATTATGACCACCTCCTTGTTTCTAGGCTCATTGTCCATTTTATCAGCTCCACTTACTATATAGGTGCACTTTGTAGTTCTACAGTTACAGACTGTAGTCCATCTGTTTCTCTGATACTTTGTCAGCCCCCTTTTACCCTGTTCTTCAGTGGTCAGGACCCCCATGGACCCTCACAGAGCAGGTACTATTTGGGTGGTGGATCATTCTCAGCACTGCAGTAACACTGACGTGGTGGTTTTTTTATAAGACTAATGCCCTCTGCAGAGACCAGCTCATACAGTCCCCTTGGATTTATAAGGTTCTATCAATGTTTTAAGCAGCACTGAGATACTGAGCATCAAAGATTTTGAGTTTTTTGGAACAGGTCAAATGCAGAGAGAACCTTCTACTCCTAAGAACTCACTTTCTGCTTGGAGTTATAAGGTTCTACCTGGCAAAACATGAAAAGAAGCAACAATTTTAAAAGAACAAAAGTGGTTTATACTTGTAATTTGTTGTAAAACATAAAATTAATGCTTTAAAATGCTAAAACGCTTTCTATGACATTTTTATGACACTTATTTCTTGTTTTAAAACAAATAAGCTTATGAAGGTCAGTGTTAAATGTCTGGTCTAGTGCAGAGTCAGTTTTAGGTGGGAACCATAAGTTTAAGTGTCTTTTAGGTTAGACAGAAACCAGCTACTGTAATAAACTGTCCCAGCAGGTCAGTATAGCAGGTCAGTTTAAAGGCAGTGTGAGGTTTTCTTTTATATCAGACTTGAATGAACAAAAATGTCTTATTTTGGGAGAAGAAAGAAAAAGACAAGATAGATGAATAAAATAAATTAATGTTTATGTTGTAATTAAGACCCCATCAATTCAAATGTTTAGTATATAATGACCTTAAATACTAAACATTTGCTTAATATTTATAAAATTTTATAATATTTATAAAATTTAAGACAATAAGACTTTTTAAAGAGCTGTATTAAGACAGGCAGAGTTTCAGCAAGATGTTTTCATCTTTCATAAACTTTTATAAACTTTTCCCGCAGTCGCTGAGCAGAGCGGCAACATGACAAAGAAGCAGAATCTGATTGGTCCTCTTATGTGTATTCGAAGTGCTGATTGGCTTGCAGATAGAACCTTATAGAACTAAGTTAGAGTTTGACTTTTGAGACAGAACCGCTTTGTTTTCTAGATAATAAGTCCAAAAATGAACACAACCTACAAAGCACCTCACATAATGTTAAGATTTTGTCATAGAATAAGAATATGTGAAGTCAATTTTGATAAAAATGTTTTTAATTCCTTTTAATTCCAAGAGGACGATAAATTATGATGCAGTAAAACAATAAAGGACTGGCTGAGATGAAGTAAACAGATCAGTTTGGCACTACACACACATGTATGAGTCATAAACACAGGCCTGTATAAGTGAGATGTTCCTGAAACCTCACCTTGGAGTCTCTGTCTTGCCACTGGCCTCCCCCTCACTCGGAACCCTCAAAAGCAACCAGAACACACAATTTAGCACTGCAGCTTGACTGGCAAACACACACACACACACACAAACACACACACACACACACACACAGAGTGCTGAGCTGTCGGAGATCCACAGGGGTCATTCAGGACCATGCCTCCTGAGTCACACACAGCACAGTGCTCCAAGACAAATTGAAAACAGTGTGACGTGCTTCGAGAGCTGAGCTTCAAAACAAAAAAATGCCAGAGTTAGAGTCACAGTAAGAGGGTAACTAGCACGTTTAGGTGCCACCCAGAGGAGATTCACTCGGACTGATATGCTGGTCTGGTCAGATCGGTAACCGTGCAGGTTGGGCTGGGCCTTGGCTACATGCCGGGTAACGCCAGGTTCAGGTTCAGGTTGTGACAAAGGACCGGGACGTACAGGGAGTGAGAGAGACACGATTAAGGGGTTTAAAAAACACAAAGAAAAATAAAACAGAAGACAAATTTGGGAAATTTATTTCACAGGAATTTGGGCAGATTGTGTACAAACAGACATGGATCATTCTGAATTGATCGCCTACCTCCTGGAAGACCTGAAAGATAGTGTTCTACAACAGAAGAAAACAGGGGCAGTAAGGGGTTCTGCAGGAAGGAGCTAGAACCCAGCTCAGCCAAACTCCCAGCTGAACTGGACTTTTGTATTATTGTATGTTTGTATTTTATAGGTTACATCACTGGCTGTGTTTACATGCAAAGATTTTTGCCCATCCTATTGAATTAATTCTGATTATAGATGAAGACTGAGGTGTTTATTCTCACTCTACTCAACAATCTGATGGATAATCTCCGTTTACATGCTCACTACAAGTAATCAGATCCAAAATGACACGCATCCATAAAGAACCAATTGGTGTAGGCGTTACCATGACAACCAGCATCACGTGAGTCCAGTCAGAGTGAGATGAGCAGCAGTGAGCAGTGCTTGTGTTTTTAATGACTTTAAAATGATGTCAGACTCAGGAAAACGTCCTTCACATGTCCTTATTAAAGAAGGCCGAGAGGAAGACGTCGTGTTCTGAGACACATAAGCTGGACGTCCGTCCCACCGCCGTCTTTTAAAGATCAGAGCATAAACTTCGTCTCCTCTGCAGACCAGTTTCTGCTCCGCCATGTTGAACGGTATAAACTTTCACCATGACGTGACAAACACGATCAGAACGGACTTAAACTTTCTGATAGGGAATGTAATCAGATACAGGCGTTTACACGGATATTATTCTTCTATTTAACAGATTATTTACAAGATTTACCCACCTCGTTCAGTCGGATAGAAACTGTATTCCGAATGGCCTCAATCAGACTAGTCTATTCCGACTGAGGTGTTAACATGGACGTATTCTATTCTGATGGAGCTCTTAGTCAGATTATTAACAGATTGTCAGGTTGCATGTAAACGTGGCTAATTCTAAATAAGGGGGAAAACTATGAACAGCTCATCAACTCACTCTCTAAACTGTAATCCTGAAATACTGAGAGGGTTTAACTAGGATATATTTGAATAAAAGGTAAATGTTGTTATTCTTGTTTTTTACATCTATGAGAGAAAAACTTTCAATGCCAACATGAAAATATATGTCACTTTCTCAGTATAACACAGTGGTTATATTGTTTTCTCACGCTTTGGGCTGTGACGAGGCAAATGATCAAGAAGCAATACGCAAAACGAATTTCACCGGCCTGAATTTTGGGTGAATTTACCTTTAAAATCACACCCTAAAGCCAATTAAGTAATTGGATATGATCACTGTAATAACGCTTTTAAATACTACTAATTCTACTACTACTAATAATAAAATAATACGTTTTTTTTCGTAGCCTCAGTTTTGGGTGAATTTACCTTAAAAATCACAACCTAAAGCCAAATAATTATATCACAAATGATCACGGTAATAATGCATGATAATAATAATAATAATAGTAACAACAAATTTTTGTTGCCTCAATTATGGGTGAATTTACCTTGGTAATCACACTCTAATGCCAATAAATTTGATCAGAAACGCTCACTGTAACATGGTTTTAAATAATAATAATAATTATAATAATAATGTTTCTCCTCAATTTTGGGTGAATTTACCTTTAAAATTACATCTAAAATTACATCTATCAGCAATGATCACTGTAATATTGCTTTTAATAATAACAATAACAATAATACAAATAATGTTTTTTCCTAGCCTCAATTTGAGTAAATTTACCTTTAAAATCACACCCTAAAGCCAATTCAGCATATTTAAAAAATTATGATAATAATATATATTTTTTTCCATTTGTAATGCCCACCCCTTCATTCCCAAAACCTTTTCACTCCCACTGTTGAGTACTGAGCTGAATTAGGGGTGGAGCTGTCTGAAACTACAATGTCGTTGTTACTACTAAAAGAGACAGAGCAGAAACAATGGAGGCACAACAGAAGAAACAATGTAAACTAACTGCATGATCCATCACACAGTATACAAGCAGGCGGTCCACTGACCTGCGCACAAACTTGGAGGTGATCTTGCTGATGATGCCTGTGGAGGTGCCCCTGCGGGCCGGGGCCAGAGCCCCCGTGTCGTGAGAAAGCGTGGGCGAGGCGGGTGGCCCGTTGTAGGTGGCGCTCCGGCGGTCGCGCAGCTGGGCTCCGTGGAAAGTGCTCCTGCTGGTGGTTCCTCGGGGGAAGCGCGTGCGCTCAGGGGTGCTGATGCTGTGAGCCGAGGGCGAGGTAGACGGGGGCCTGGGACTTGAGCTGGAAGAGAACCAAGAAGAAATATACCAGATATTAGGGCCGCAAAACATCAGGCCAACTGTCGAGTCGTTGTTGAGTGTCTGTGCCAAACTGTCACTCAGTCCTGCACCGGTGCCACCAGTCAGCCCCTGTCAGCACCTGGTCAGCGAGCTGAGCAGGCTGAATCAGTGCTGGTGCTCAGTCTACAATTTTGTGTACGAGAAGAGAAACAGAAGTAAGCAAAGCCAGTAAATGGCACTCTCAAAAGCAGGGGTCGCAACCCAAATGTTAAGAAGAGCCATTTCGTCCTTTCAACAAAAATCAAGCCACCTTATGATCCACAACATGTATGTCCATTTTATCCATCTCGGCTGTAAATGTGTCTCAGTATGTGCTGATGTCCTAGTATAGGATAAAATATAAACAAAAACACAGACTTAATTTGCTCTGCTTTAAGCTTTAGCTCAGCTATAGCTGCTTTTCTCACATCTCCAGCAGGAAACTTTTCATCAAAAGTGGAATAATTTCTGGAAAAAGTCCCTCAACGTTTGATTTTTTTACAAGGCTGAATTCGCTTCTCATTCACCAGCTTCTTGTTTGAATTTTCCTGTTCCCCTTTAAAGGGTGCCTGAGATGCCAGAGTGTAACTGCTGCACCATTTAAGGTGGAACGGGACAATCTGAACAAAAAAGCTGGCGAACGAGAAGCGACTTATAAGTGTTTGACAGTTTCTGGTTGCAGGTTAAACCCTGAAAATAATTCCATTCGTCTCCAAATCATCAATGTTTGTCTTAAATCTCTCTCTTTGCCGTTTCGTTAGCTACTAGCTTGGCGAGATTGTTGCGAGATCTGCGTTGCTATGGTGACCAGCAGTCTGTGCTGATCTTCAGGGTTAAAGGGTGAATTAGCAGTTCTACATTAACTCCAGAGTTTAAGACCATTTATTGTTAAACTGTGTTGAACGATCAGCAGAGCTTTATTTTACTGTAAAGGAGGATTATTTTATTTTTACCTACAAATCTGATTCTGCTGTGGAGCCACAACAGGACAGTGAAAGAGCCGCATGTTGACGACCCCTGCTCAAGAGGCAATGCATACGGGTCTATCTGCATTAATAATAACAACATGACTGGGTTGAAGGGGGAGCAACACAAGCATGATTTTAAAAAGGACCCCCCAAATGTTCAGAAACGGCTCTGATGATGTATAAAAACTATTTTTATTTCAACAAAGTTTATTTTGTACTGTTTAAAACATAGGTTTATTGTACTTTAAACATTACTCTGAGCATCATTTTGCAGTACCTGTGCTTGTCTGAGGGTGTTCACAGCCAGGAAGAGTCACATAAGCTTTATTATTATTAGTGCTGTGGGTTTCCCTGACCATGGTCACATTTCAGCAATCATACTGCTCCTTGTTGTACGCCATTACTCTCGAGGGTAGCACAAGGGAAGACATTCATTTTATGTAGGAGAGAAATCGGCTAGTTTGGGCTTGCGATGAAATCCTATTTAACAACTACTCTTGTAAAACTGGTGCATTATTTATACATTTAATGAGGTGAAAATCGCTACAGGCACCACAATAAATTATAATGACACTTTGCCATATTTACAATTTTATATGACAAATTATGATCTATTACTTTTCACCACAAATTATCTCTAATTAGATCATTTAACATTCAGAAACACGCTGTACTTATGTTTACACATTTAGCAGATGCATTTATTTGTAAGGTGGACGTGCAGCACTTTAAACAGGCAGAAAGAAATGGCACCACCTTGTGCGTTAAGACAGAAATGCACCTTTTTAATATATTAGTCTAACATATTAATAATAAAATAAACAAACACTGATAACTGTCTTTATGGATCAATAGAAAACACTTAAAAAAAGATGTTTCTTCAAGGGTTCTTCAGTAAAGAAAATGGTTCTCTATAGAACCATGAACACTCAAAGAACTCTTTGCATCATGAAAGTGTTCCTCACCTTGAATGTGCTGTAGATGGTTCTACACAGAACCTTCTGGAAAATGGTTCTATGTAGCACTAAAAAGGGTTCTTTTCTTATTACAAGCTTGACATTCTAACTGCAGAAGAACCTTTTTGCAGCACATTCTTCATCAATCTGATGAACCATTTCATGATGCATGAGTAAAAGGTTCTCTGCATGGTGAAACGGTTCTTCAGATTGATGGAGAATGTGTTGTAGATAGTTCTACACAGAACCTTGAAGAGGGTTCTATACAGCACCAAAAACGATTTTTTTCTAATGTTACAATATCAAGCCTGTAACCAAAGAAGAACCTTTAATCATGCAGTTCTTCGAGTGTTCAGAGCTTAATATAGAACGTTTTCTTTTAAAAAAAAAAACCCTGAAGAACCATCTTTAAGTTTGTATTTTAAAACTCCAAATATCGCAAAATTATACCGCATATTTTTTTTCCTCAAACATGTAGGTTTGTTCATTTTTCACTCACATTATATGTAGATCAACTCTACGCTTTAGTGCTCTTCTGTCCTTCCTTCAGTTCCACCAAATCCCAATACTTAACTTGGGGCTTAAGATTGTAAATGTAGTGCGCAGATTCAAGATGGGCCAATACTGCAGGTTAACAGCACAAAATCTCAGGTAACTAAGATGTTATGGAATGAATATGATGCATTACCACTAAAACTACAAAAAGGCCTCAATTCAGTGGCCATCAATTCATCATCAAGGCCTGCTTGTAGCCGTCACAGTGTTTCATGCCACTGCAAGTGAGGCACTGTGGTTTGTGGTTTCCTTACAGATGAACGTGTTCATTACCATTAATCAAAACAAAAATGCTCATCTACTGAAGCCAGCTTTGTCCATAATAAGAGGCGGCTAAACGTCCAAGCATCTACACAATTGCACTCTCTATTGCACTCTATTGAACCTTGCTAAACTATTTCCGAACAAGCTCGTTTTCTATCATGTCCTGGTCCTGGATGGATATGATAACTGCTGCTGACCTAAACACTCTTAGCAGGGCTGTACATACATTTCTGAGCAAGTAGCACTGGTGCTACGAATGCTGCAAGTGGTGCATCACAAGTTAACGTACTGTAGCACTGAAAAAAATCGACACAATAATTCTTCTAAATAGTAATAAGGCTAAGTAGTAAAACAGTTTCATTTTGAAAAAACAAGCAGCAGTTTTAAATTTGAATGTTCTTTTTATGAAATATACAAATTTCATTTTCTCCACAGCAATTTAGATTCAGACTTTAGGCAATTTAACACTCAAGTAGCATTTTTGTGTAGGATTTTCTCATTTTTTTTTACGGTGCGGCTCAATTTTACTTAATATGTGAGTTTTAGCAAAGGCTATAAGCACAGCAGAGAGTGACCTTGTCTCTTAATTCAAAGATTTAATTCATTACAGACCCAAACTGAGCAACTTTCTGTACATTTTGTACTTTGCAAGGCCTTTTTGGGTTCACTTTTGGATTCGTTCTAGAGCACTGGAACTACCTGATGGACTACAGCGACCATAAACTCTAGAAGTCGCACGTCACAGTTTGCATGACCACTACAGGTGACTTGGGCAGTGTGAAAATATACACTTCTGCACATTTATGTGATCTTTTTTGTACTCATGTAAGATTAATTTCAACAGTATTGTTGCACCGCACAGTGCTGTTGTTAGGCAGTAAAGTAAAATGTACACAGTGGCTCTGGAAAATGGACAGTGCTAACCAGCAGTCAGAAGATGGAAAAGCTGCCACTGAGCTCCGACAAAGATACTTACAAATAAATACAGGACAGTGTGAACGAGATGCAAGTTTTTTTGGCTTTTTTTCTCACCTCGGTTTGTATTCACTATTGTCTTCTATAGGGGGCAGGGCTGTTTTGGAGGAGGCGCCGGAGGTGGACATAGACTTGATGTGTCGCGGTCTCGTGGACACCAGGGCCGACGCAGTTCCGGAAGCCGACGTAGTGCTGCCAGAGACCTCTGTCAAACTGGAGAGAGAGAGAGGGCAAGGCAGAAAAGAAATAGGATACCTTAAAACCTACATCAGGGTTTCCCCAGTGCCAGTTCCGGTGACCCCATGCTCTGCACATTTTAGTTTTCCTTACTCGACACACCCGACCCAGTCCACGACTAGCTTGTTCATTAGTAAATGAGCTGAATCTGGTGTGCTGGATGAGACAAAGCACAAAAATATGCATAGTGTGGGATCACAGGACTGTGACTGACATGATGAGACACTGAGATGTAGTTTAGGTACACAAAAGACAGGAAAACACACTGAAAGCTAGTTTACTTACACTGGTAATAGAAAACAGCAGCCAAGTCTTCTCTGGCTTGTCCTACTGTAAATTATGTGTATTCTGTACTTACTAGTTCAAAGAATTAAAAGGACAGCACAGTTCATGTGCTTTCCAAACATTTCATCCCTTTGAAAACTTTTTTATACCTTTTTGTAAAGAAGGAAATGTATTAAACATTAGATTTGCTGCATATGAGCAAATAATGTGCCCAGATATTGAAGATATACTTTCTCTGAAGCAGATTCAGAAGCTTGGCATCCATAGTTCTCACAACAGAACGTCCATACCTTTTCCAAAACGTGCCAATGCTTTCCTAGAACGTCCAGAAGAGCTCAAATACATAGACATGTGTCTGTCTAGGTTTTACAGTGCTGAATCCAACTCCTGCCCTTTCCAGCATTAGCTTTATTGATGACTCATGTAAAGTCAGTACAGCCATGCTAACCTGCTGTCTTTGCCGTTGGGTACGGCCGAGTAGCGGTCAGCCGAGCGCTCGCACACGTACGTGTTTCTTCGAGCCATGCCTCCATTTGTCTGCAAGAACATGAGAAAGGAGTGAGGTAAGGCGTAGAAGAGCATGGAAGCTTTGGACTGAGAGTCTGAGGTTTGGGGCTTTGCTCACTGCTGCCTACTGTGAGGCCCAGAGAGAGAATGAAAGGAGACATAAACAAAACTGTCCTTGCAAATTCATATCTACGTTACCTGCCACTGTAGCTGCTGTGTGAGAAGCTGTGAAATGTGAAGTGTTTGCTGTTTCGCCGTATTTCCCTTTTACCAAAGGCTTGTCATTCTACAGGCTGTCACTGCTGTGTGACACTCAGCAAACATCCTGCTCCACTCTAGTAAACACTCCCACTCACCCAGCCTTCATACTTCTACCGTCACAGGTTTCACATACAGACATCTGTGACAGTCAGTTCAGTGCAAAACAGTGATGTAATGTCATGTATGACAAACATTAAATTTCTGGGTTAGTGATTAATTCAGCAGACTCGTTCATTGACATTAAAAGGCTTTCTGTGGGCAAACTGGACCATATTCTGTCCTCACGAGAGTAAGCTGGACATTAGCTAAGCTAACAGGCTTCAATTATATTCAGAGACAGGCTCTGAGCTTCAATCTTTATAGTCAACATCCCAACTGTAAGATCCAAAGCACAGACTATGTTACTTGAAGCTTCAAATTTAAGCTGCTAGGAAATGTTTGCCCCTTGCCTTTTAAAACAGTTCCTTTTTGATATTTTTATAAATTTTGTTTTGTTCTAAATTTTTTTTAAATCTTCTTTTTAAAAGAAGAATCTTAAGACTTTTCTTTTTTAGACCTGTTTTTATGAATTATTAATAATTTTGCTCTGTTCTGACATTTTTCAGAAGAATCTTAAGCCTCTTATTTTTAGATGGGTTTTTATAAAGAGTTATGTTGTCATGATAAGTGTGCTGTATAAAAATAATTTATTATAATTATTATTATTTTTTATTGGCTTGATGCTAATGTAACATTGAAAATCCTATTAACAAGCTAGTAGAAGTAAGCATTATTATTATTATTATTATTATTGTTACTACTAATAATGTTGGCTTGATGCTAACATAACATTGCAAATCCCATTAGCAGGCTAGTAGAAATGAGCATTATTATTATTATTATTCTTATTAATAATAATGTTGGCTTGATGCTAACATAACATTGCAAATCCCATTAGCAGGCTAGTAGAAATGAGCATTATTATTATTATTATTGTTATTAATAATAATGTTGGCTTGATGCTAACATAACATTACAAGTCCCATTAGCAGGCTAGTAGAGACAAGCATTATCAAACAGGCCAACAAAAGCCATTTGGAAAGTGATCTACAGGGTTTCTGTATTAAACATGTGTAACGACATGCTTGGAGCATCCACTGTTGAGCTCCCCACCACGGCACAGTAACCACACCCTCTACCCCACCCCCTCCACTGAGACAGCCAAGGAAAAGCAGTGTTCATTAGCATACAAAATCAGGGTAAAACAGACTGAATTAAAGGTGTTTTTGTTTTATATTCTTTACAGCTGCTCTTTCAAAGAGCACAGGGAACTTAATTTAATGAAAGAGAGTAAAATACGTCTCCTTTTACAGACGCTGATCAGATCAGGAGAGAGGAAGATAAAAGGAGAGAGAGAGAGAGAGAGAGAGAGAGAAGCTGAGAGGTGAGTAATAGAACAGAGCTGCTGCAGTAACTGCATTAATGCCTCCTCCTATCTGCATTGCAGGGATTCTTACGCCGGCTGCAGCAGCTGCTTTCTTCCTGTCCTGCGCAGCCAGAGGAGACGCCGGCACGTCCGCCTTGGAGCCGGAGCCCAGCAGTTTGCGTGAACTGTCCCACTCTTCCTTCTGCTCACTCTCCACACAGCTGGCTGGGGTGCGCTTGGTGTAGGACACAGCCGGCGGGACGGAGGGACCCACTGGGAGACCACACACAGACAAACAGACAGAGACACATAGATAAAACTCATATGATGTGTTATGTTCAATTAAAACAACAATAATAATAATGATCATGAAAGTACTGATGGATAGAAACAGTGACCATCTTATTTTTCAGTAACAGAAGTGACAAAGTGATAAAGCATGCAGATTTATCATCACGAAGCAGCGGCATCCACAAATCTCAAATCTCAAAAGTTTGATAAATGAAATATTCACTTAATTAAATAGTACAATTAGAGACGGCACATGAGTATCAGTGGGTATTGGGTACTGAAAATGCTGTATCGTATATGAGCGCTAAAGAAGAATGAATCTGATTCAATCCTGTAACAAATCTGTCCTGAAATATCACGCGCTCGCTTCATATGCCGTGACGTTCATTGTGTTCTTCCCTCGGCAGCAGTCAAGTGTTTAAGTAGTTGAGTATGATCACCTATGTTTTGATGCTCATCTAAGATTTAAGACTTTAAAAAGAATCTGAAGACTTTTCTTTTTAGAAGTGTGTTTATATACTAATTTGTGTTTTGTTCTGGGTATTTCTGGATTTTTAATCTCTTTTCTTAAGAAGAATCTTAAGATTTTTATTGTTAATCATGTTTTAATATATTCATTTTTGTTTTGTTCTAGGTATTTCTGGATTTTTAATCTCTTTTCTTAAGAAGAATATTAAGATTTGTATTATTAAACGTTTTTATATATTCATTTTTGTTTTGTTCTAGGTATTTCTGGATTTTTAATCTCTTTTCTTAAGAAGAATATCAACACTTTTCTTTTTTAGACGTGTTTTATGAATTATTTTGCTTTGTTCTACAGACTCTGGATCTTTTATGAAGAATCTTTTTTTTCTTTTTCTTTGTTTTTTCCCTTTTAGATGTGTTTTATAGATTTTGTTTTGTTCTAAGAAATTCTGGATCTTTTGCAGAAGAATCTTGGAAGTGTTTTTATACATTCTGTTTTGTTTATTTACTGTAAAGCACCTTGAGTTGACGATGTCCTGAGAAGTGTACTAAATGTTAATATTATTTTAAGCTTAAGTGCTTCAATTAACTGATTTTAAAGTGTACTACAAACCTTTATTCCCAAAAAAGTCGGGACAGTATGTGAAACACAAATAAAAGCAGAAAGCAGTGATTTGTAAATCTACTTACATTTGTATTTAAACAAAATAAGAGCAAAGACCTACAACACGTCCAAAAACAGGGGCCATTTAAATCTGGGAATGTTGTGGAATGTTAATCAAGCCATGTAATCACGTTTGGGTATAAGAGGAGCATCCAGGAAGGGCAGAGTCATTTATGAGCAAAGATGAGTTAACAAATAATCCAACAGTTTAAAAACAACATTCCTCAACAAGCAACTGCAAGGATTTTAGGTATTTCACCCTCCAAGGTTTCAGGGAATCCAGACAAATCCCTGTGTGTAAAACCACAACCTCACCCATTCAGACAGTGCTGCGTTTAACACTGGCAAGCTTCTGTCATGGATATCACTGCATGGGCTGGGAATTCATTCACACACTGTTGACAATAAACCCTGCGTTCATCACTGCATCCACAAATGCAAGACTGTAGTATGCACAGCAGAAGCCGGACGTCATATGTCAAAGTTCCTGAACTGCTGCCAACTTCTCTGGGCTACTTGAGCTCATTTGAAATGGACTGATGCACAGAGGAAAAGTGTATTGTGCTCTGATGAGTCAACTTTTCAGATTATGGGAATAATGGACCTTGTGTTCTCCAGGCAAAAGAAGAAAAGGTCTATCCAGACTGTTACCAGTGTGAAGTTCATAAGCTAGGGTCTGTCAGGGTAAGGGGGGTGTATCAGTGCCCCTGGATAACTTGTACATCTGTGAGTTGAACTAGAGAGGTAGGGCGGAGTGTTGGGGCTACACGGCCCTCCAAACGGAGGTTTTTCAGACAAAATACCAAATGGAGTATTAGTAAAAATTAGTACTAGTAAAAGCAAAATCAGCAAGACGGCTGAGCAAGAGACCAAAGAGACCCTTAAATGTGAGAATTTTCTCTGTTAAATAAAATTGATGATAAGTTTTGTATAGTCTTAATGTTGTTTCAGTGTATTATGGTCCTTTTCTTCATAACAAGCATAAAAAATCTCTAATAGTATGCTAATCTCCTGGTATCTAGCTAATTTTCCCGTTCCACCTTAAATAGTCCAGCAGTTCTGACGCCTGAAGCACCAGAATGTAACTGCTGCTCCATTTAAGAACAGGAGGAGCTGAACTTTACCCTCCTCTGCTGTCACTGCAGACTGGCAGGGTCGCCTACAGAGCAGCGCTGGTAGCTGTTAATGAAGTAACGCTCTTTATTTGAGGGTCCTTTTTTGTCGGGAAGATTTTAGCCACTACTCTTTGTAACTCAACTCCAAGGGGTAAGGAGAGACTCGAGAACAAGGGGTAGGGGTCAAAATAAGAATTGGGGTTGGGCCAAAGAAATCTAATGAAAAAATGGTGAAAAATTCTGCTTTCAAAAGTGGATCAACTGATGTTTTTAGTGCACAAACTCTTATTAACTGTTGTTTACAGAACATGTGATGTCACTCACTTGTAAACATGCTCCTGTACATAATTTGGAATGAGTGTATATTTATGAAAAAGCAATAAGACATCAAATAATGGGTTTTTGTGTTCTATTTGATATAGGTCAAACAGATCTCACTAATCACTGATTTCTGTTTTTATTAGCATTTCGCATGCCGTTCCAGCTTTTTTGGGAATTGAGGTTAGTAGCTCTTAAAGAAATAATATTAGATTGGCTTCAATATTGGCCCAAACTCAAGGTTTCAATATGCATGTTGGAAAAGAAAACATGGTTTTTGTGCCATCTCTAATTAAAATATGTAAAAGCCAAGCCAAGCAGGGATACAGTAAAGCCATTCCCTCCTCATGCTGCAAGGTAAGCCCTTAGTGGCTGACGTTCTCTAAAGGGCTGCCAGGCTGTCGGCCAGTAGGGGGCACCAGACACACTGTGACCACACACAGAGAGCTGGAGAGGGAACCGGGGTTTTGTTACTTTACTTGGTTGCATGTCATCCCCACCATGATCACTGAACCGCCGCTGCTGCTTCTGAGTGGCCGATATGCTGCGCTGAACCTTGGAGTGAGCGGGCGACTGGCTGGAGCTGTTGTTGATGTCACTGGTAGGGCGGGGCCTGGGACACAGATTGCTGTTGGACAGAGATTCGCTGCCTTCGAACTGACAAGATCAAGACAGCAACACAGAAAATCAAATTAGTGTTCAGACAAAAGACATTTTTGACAAATAGGTGAGCTGGGATATTCAAGGCTCTCGCTGTGTGAGTGGTGACACTTCAGGATTTGTGGTGTAATGAAGGCACAGACGCAGATAAGCTCACTGAATAAGTGAAAGGGGGCTGCAGGGTGCCACCTGGCATCAGTGCCCTTGGCAATGATTCGCTACAACAGCATATGGAATCTGCTAGATAACACCTGATTACTACAGGATGCTACAGAAACAACATATGTTGATTAGAGGGACTGCAGACCTGCCAATCTTGTTATCTATCTATCTATCTATCTATCTATCTATACATCCATACATATTGCACAAGTATTAACATATGTTATCCATGTAATTACAAGAGTGAAAACTGAAGTTTACAAATATCTATATATGCTGTCTGACCGGTAGGCACCTTCAGCAACAGCCCCATTAGCTCCACTGTAGTAAGGGACGGTACAGGAGATCGTTTGTACCAGCAGCATTCGCACTATACATCACCTCCTCACGATGTCGTTATTGTATACTGAACCATTAAAAGGACAGGCTCACTGAGCACCAGCTGGACATTGTACCTGCCTACTCATATTACTATGCACTGCCACTCTGTTTATACATCTATACATACTGCACTGCCACTGTGTTTATACATCTATACATACTGCATATTGCACTACTTCAGTCTAACCATGCATCGAATAAAACAATCTATCACGCATCAACTTAAAAATTCTATTAACCCATTTATGTATTAATCAAAAGATCTTTCTATTCTTTTAATAAATCAGTTAATCCATCATCCACACATGCATCAATTACATGCATGCACTCATGTTTCAATTAATAAATCCATCCATTCACCACTTGATAGCTCCATCCATGGATTACTAAATCTGCCCATCCATCAAATAGCAGATCAATCCATGCATGCATTCAGTAATAAATCTATCCATCACTCCCCTTCTGCCTGCGCCTCATCCAATAAAACAACACGTTATGAATCCTAAGCTACGATGCTTCACTTCGCCTCCATCACGGCGGTCCGCACAGAGTGGACTTAACTGGAAAAATCAATAGCATACTTCAGCACGCTACTGCCATCATTACTGCAGCATCAGCTCAGTCAGGATGAGAGATAGCACGGAACACTCAGCCAGGCTGGTCCGCTCTGCTGTGGAACAGCTTATTGAAGCTATCTAAGTTATATAATAACTTACATAACTTACATAATAGGACAAAATGACCCACACTTTACCTGACCTGGAGATGATTAGCAACTTTAACGGCAGCTTCTGTTCCTGCTTAGCTACGTTAGCATGTCAACGTTCCCTTTAATGTAAATGTTTAGGTATGATGCATTATGGAAATCCAGCCTCTGACTGGCATAGAAAATTGCTTGGCAAGTCAGCAGTGAACAGGATGTGCAGTACCGTGCAGAGGTCAGAGACCACCGTTCAGTTATATAACATCCAGCCGAAACAGCCAAGTGCAAGTTATATATTTTTCAGCATCAGGAAAAAAAGCAGAAAACATTTTAACGCCTAAAACGGACGCCTTAAGAAACTAGATATTATATTAAATATCCACTCTGTGCCTTTAATACAGCCTCCATTCTTTTTGGCCCACTAGCCTTCAGTTTTTCAAAGAAACCTGCAGGGATATTTGGTGATTTTGTTTAGTCCTTTTTAGATGAAATAAACACTCAACAGACTCTCAGACTCTCTCTCACTCAGCAACATATCAGTGATGTAGCAGCAGTGAATACATTCAGTAAATTATCAAGAGACTTTTAATCAACTGCGTAAATAAAATTAGTTTCTGCTGAATTCAGCTGTTTTTCACTTTATTTGAAGTTCAGATCTGTAGATGTTTAATCTGAGAGGAACTGAACACAAACAGGTTTAATACAGACCATCAACATCCTCAACAAGCTGATACAGACACACTGACGCCATCTGTTAGGATTAGGCCCAGGGTGAGGGTTAGGACTGGGTTTTGGATTGAGGATAAGGTTAGGGTTAGGATTAGGCCCAGAGTGAGGGTTAGGACTGGGTTTTGTATTGAGGATAAGGTTAGGGTTAGGCCCAGAGTGAGGGTTAGAGTTAGGTTTTGGATTGAGGTTAAGGTTAGGATTAGGCCCAGAGTGAGGGTTAGGACTGGGTTTGGGATTGAGGTTAAGGTTAGGATTAGGCCCAGAGTGAGGGTTAGGACTGGATTTTGGATTGAGGTTAAGGTTAGGATTAGGCCCAGAGTGAGGGTTAGGACTGGGTTTGGGATTGAGGGTAAGGTTAGGATTAGGCCCAGAGTGAGGGTTAGGACTGGATTTTGTATTGAGGATAAGGTTAGGGTTAGGCCCAGAGTGAGGGTTAGGACTGGGTTTTGGGTTGAGGTTAAAGTAAGGGTTAGGATTAGGTTTGAGGTTGAGGTTAAAGATAGGATGAGGGCCTAGGATAGGACAGGGTGGTCTACCAGGTCTTGCCCAGTTGTTATGAGGCCCATTTACTCTACATCTTAATTTTTTTGAACTCCAGTTTTAGGCAACTTTTGTTTGGTCACTTATTTCCCTTTAACTTTCTCCATCCTTATTCAAATGGATTATTTATCATCTCCTTAGAAATACTTCCTCAAAAATTCATAATTTGGCCTATATGGCCATTTTGACCGGAAATCAACTAAATGAGCAGCTGTCTCTGACTTCAGCACAGCACTGTTCATCACCACAATAATCTCTGAAGCTATTATTAACACAGTACCACACATTTCCTCTCACACACTAACCTCTGGAGTTTTTCTGCCCAATAGGAGGTACGTAGCCATGACCTCATCGTATTTCTGTCCCACGAGGGCCTCCGTGATCTCATCCTTCGGGAATCCCATCGTCACCATCAGTTCTGAGGAACACACCACAAAGAGATGAGCTCCAAAGAGACGGTGCCACTTTCAGCTTTTCACTTTTCATGATCGAATCACTTTCTTTTACTCAAAAGCCCAAATTGAGGGAACAAGTTACCTAAACGGCTAATGCTGGCATTACTGAGAGGAGGCACACGCTTAAAAAGGATGACAAAGGTTCTATATAGCACCAAAAACGGTTCTTCTAGAAGAACACATCTATACAGAAGCACCTACAGCACATTCTCCATCAATCTGAAGAACGCTTTGACGATGCAAAGAACCCCTTAACCATGCAAAGGGTTCTTTGAGCATTCATGGTTCTGCATAGAACCATTTTCTTTACTAAAGAACCCTCTGAAGATCTATCTTTTGTAAGAGTGCAGGAAACAGACTGAACTGAGCCAGTATGATTCAGCCATCAGCTCCCTACCAAGTTTTATTTACTGTTTACCACATTAGGGTTTTTGGATGAAGTCCGTCTTGGAGACTCTGTCCAAATGGTCCCAAGCCAACAGAAAGGAAGGTTCTAACCAACAACTAACAATGGGTAGACATGACGTCAAGTAGGCCAACAGATTACAGTGCTTGTCCCCACCACAAGATGGCGAAAACGAGCCATACACGCTGTGACCTTACTGAAAAGGCCACAGCGCTTCTCAAATGAGCCGGATTGAATAGAAATCGACCCGAATTCTGCAATTCAACGAACGTGCAGCAACAAAAACGTTCCTAATGCACTTCTAACTCCTATTTCTCAGATGAGAAACAACAAAAATCACAGGGTAACCCACCAATTTGGAATGTACCGATTTGGAATGTACTCTGGTGCTGAAGCAGGGAGCTGAAGGAGACACCAACTGTAAACCATAAATACATAACAAAATTCATGCTGACATATTTTTGTTTTTTAACAATGCATGCGCTGGGATATTATAAATAATAGCCAAGGTCATTCATCACAAATACACACAAATTAAGAAGACTTTGAAGACATGTCAGTTAATAACATATTCAAAAATGCAATCATTACAAAAAACCTAATAATAAACAGGCTTGATTTGTGTCTTCTCTGAGAACAGTGGAGTGTTTTTCCTCTGAAGCTATATACTGTCACGTAATATATATCTGATATCTTTGTTAGTGCTGTAAAAGATGACGATGTAGATCTGTTTCTGAGCCTTTTTGCTTTGGCAAGTCGCACTACAGCCCTACCAGATGTTTTTATACGCTCTGCAGGAGAATAACAGTGAACGGAAGTGTTTTATGACTGACAGAAGAAACCATGATTGCTTAACCAAATGTCGAAAATGAACACGTGCTGTAAATTCGAAAAACATATTTTACCCAGTGACCACTGAAATGACCAAAGCGAGCTTCTCTGACTCGGTATGAATTATCACATATCAGGCACCTGAGCTGCTCTTTGTGTGGCGTCTTGTTAAACTAACATTCTCAAAACTGATCTGTTAAGTAAACATTAGATGAATCATGAGGGTAACTGCAACTCAACTCTTAAAAAAGATGGTTCTTCAATGGTTCTTTAGTAAAGAAATGGTTCTATATAGAGCCATTAACACGGAAAGGCCCCTTTGCATGATTAAAAGGTTCTTTACATCATGAAAGGGTGCATGGATGTGCTATAGACGGTTCTATATAGTATCCAGAAGGGTTCTACTATTGTTACAAGCCTGACACCGTAACAATAGAAGAACCCGTTTGGTTGTTGGGCGCTATTTAGAACCATTTTTAAAAAGGTTCTACAGCACATTCTCCATCAGTCTGAAAAAACCCTTTCATGATGCAAAGAAGCCTTTAATCATGAAAAGGGTTCTTTGTGTGTTCATGGTTCTCTATAGAACCATTTTCTTCACTAAAGAACCCTTGAAGAACTATCTATTTTAAGTGTGAGGTTACATGTAGAAGGTTGAATGAAAAAATTTGACTGGACATTGATTGCGTTATTTTTCTGACATATTAAGTAAGCACTGACCGATCCTCTTGTTGTCCTTAAAATCAGGTTCTGGTTCTGTATAAGGCTGCAGCTCCTCCTCCTCATGGCCCACGTTCATCCATCTATCCTTCATGACTTGCTAACAAAACAGATCAGCCATAAAGTCAAAGACATGCTGGTGTCAACATGAGATTAAAAAAATAAAACGTTATGTGAATCAATCACAGTACGAAGATTTGGTGGAAAGAAAATCCAGGAATTTTACCTCTAAACTGCCACGTTTGATGGGGTTCAGCACCAAGAGCCTCTTGAGCAGGTTCTCACAGTCCGTGGACATGTAGAAGGGGATGCGGTACTTTCCTCTCAACACTCTCTCTCTCAGCTCCTAAAAGGGTTCGATCAGTACAGTATAAAGAACCGAAAGACAGACAGACATTCTCCACAGCCAAGCTTGCTTCTGTAGTACCTTCTTACACTATACTTTACATTTCAATAGGAATGTTGTACTAGAATACACTATATGGACAAAAGTATTGGGACACCTACACATCCTATTCTAAATCCATAGGCATTAATATGGAGTTGGTCCCCTTTGCAGCTCTAAAAGCTTCCACTCTTCTGGGAAGCTTTGTACAAGATGTTGGAGAGTGTCTGTGGGAATTTCTGCCCATTCATCCAGAAGAGTATATGTGAGGTGAGGCACTGATGTTGGACGAGAGGGCCTGGTTTACAGTCTCTGTTCTAGTTTATCCCAAAGGTGTTTGATGGGGTTGAGGTCAGAACTCTGTGAGGGCCAGTCAAGTTCTTCCACACTAGGGCTCCCGAGTCGCGCAACCGTCTAAGCGTTGGCCCTGTTATCAGGAGATCGCGAGTTCGATTCCTGGTGATGCTACAGCTGTCCGTAGCCGGGAGTCCAAGAGAGCACAATTGGCCTCGCTCTCTGTGGGTGATATTAGTCAGCGCAGGCGTCTGTTAGCTGACGTAACAGATCTGGCGGTTGGCGCTTTCCTCAGAGTGCGTTCAGCTGTCCAATGACGTTGCGTGAGCGGCAGTTCGAAAAGATGCGGTGGAGCTTCACAGGTCTCGGAGGAAGCCTGTGTTAGCCTTCACCCTCCTAGCGTTGATAGCGTCGTGTGATTGGGGGAGTCCTAACTAGCGGGTGGAATTGGAGACGACTAAATTGGGGAGAATATTGGGTAAAAAATGATAATAATAATAATTCTTCCACACCAAACTCACCCAGTCAGGCCTTTATGGAGCTGCTTTGTGCACTGGGGCTCAGTCATGCTGGAACAGAAAAGGTTCTTCCCCAAACTGTTCCTACAAATTTGGAAGTGTACAGTTGTCCAAAATGTCTTGGTGCTGCAGCATTAAGATTTCCCTTCACTGGAACTGAGGGTTCTAGACCAACCCCTGAAAAACAGCCCCATAGCATCATCCCTCCTCCATCAAACTTTACAGCTGGCACAGTGCAGTCAGGCAGGTAACGTTCTCCTGGCATTCGCCAAACCCAGACTCGTCCATCAGACTGACAGACAGAGAAGCTGGTTCATCAGCCCACAGAATACGTTCCCACTGCTCCAGAGTCCAGTGGAGGTGCTTTACTCCACTACATCCGTCGCTTGGCATTGTGCTCGGTGATGTAAGGCTTGTATGCAGCTGCTCGGCCATCATGAAGCTCCCGGTGCTCAGTTTCTATGCTGAGGTTGATGCCAGAGGAGGTTTGAACTCTGCAGAGTGCTGGAGACTTTTATGCTCTATGCTCCTCAGCACTCGGAGACCTGCTCTGTAACTTTACATGGTCTAACATGTGGCTGAGTTGCTGTGGTTCCTAAATGCTTACACTTTTCAATAATACCCCTCACAGTTGATTGTAGAATATCTAGGAGGGAGGAAAGTTCACAAACTGAGTTGTTGCAATGGTGGCATCCTATTACAGAACCATGCTCAAATTCAGGTCTTTAGAACAACCCAGTCTTTCACAAACGTGTGTAAAGACAGACTGCATGGCTGGGTGCTTGATTTTATAGACCTGTGGCAATGGGACTGAATGAAACACCTGAATTCAATGATTAAGAGGCGTGTCCCAATACTTTTGTCCACATAGTGTAACTATGTTTTAGACCCCTGTGAATGCAGAAATCTGGTTTGGTAAATTTTTCCACAAAGATGGAAATGTACATTTGTAAAAAAAAATGTACATTTTACATTAAAATGGCCTTGTTTAGCCTCTTTAATAGTTGCATACAATAAAAAGACAAACTGTTAATCACAGTGATTTATATGTGTTGTGAAAATATCCTTAAATGTTACATTTTGCTGCAATGTAGCCAGAAGGTCACCTTCAGGTTCTGTCCATCGAAAGGTAGCGATCCACTGACGAGGGTGTACAGGATGACCCCTAAACTCCACACGTCCACCTCGGGCCCGTCGTACTTCTTGCCCTGGAACAGCTCGGGGGCGGCGTACGGAGGGCTGCCGCAGAATGTGTCCAGCTTGTTGCCCTCGGTGAACTCGTTACTGAAGCCAAAGTCGGCAATCTTGATGTTCATGTCAGCATCTAGTAACAAGTTCTCAGCCTTGTTTGGGGAGAGGTGGTGAAGAGAATGAAGAGGGGAGAGGTGTGGGCACTTAGGCCGGACTTCGAACTGACTTATTAGCAGCTACTGAATTAATACTAATGCTAGTACAAACTAGTGGATCAATTTAGCCTGGATTGCATGAAAAATACCTAGAATAGCAGATCATACCTGTCTAGAATGACTTATTTCAGTATATGAAAAGGGTTCAGACACTTCATATACAGGCGTATATAAACGTATATAAACCTCTAAGTCCAGTAGCTTTTGATACAAACCTCAACCAGAAAACTTACCTTAAGGTCCCTATGTACAATTTTCTTCTGATGGCAGTACTGCACTGCAGACACAATCTGAAAAACACCAGATACCTGTATGTAACATTCTGCAGGTTATCTCAGAGACACATTTCAATAGTTTTTAACCTGCCTTCGCCAACTTTGACTCGCCCCTTGGTCATACGTCACACCTCTGTTACAAAACTGGCTACTGGCAGTACAAGGGGAGGACGAGACAGTGAGGAGTGGACTTTTCGAAGGGAGTGCACTTAGAGGGACAGCCACAGTGTGCCAATCAGCTAGCCATGCAAACTTTGCACTGCAAAACATTTTTTTTTAACATAATCAGCATTTGTGAATAATTGGTGTAGAGCAAATGTTTTCACTTTCAACCTTTATCAGTTCCAGAGTTTAAAGTTTTTTTTTTCCACTGTGGAAACTAAATGGGTAGAATGGTCAGTATCCATATTCATTTATAGTTCAATGTCCGTAGCCATTTAAACCACTTTGTTACCTTCCTAAAACCCTCCTCACTGCTGCCATTTGTGGATATTATAAGTTTACGCCACCTCTATGACACCAGAGCACAAAAACAAAAAAATCATTAAAAATGCCTGGACATCCCTAAATGTACTACTTCTAATACTAAAAACGAAAATATTCTCAGATATTTTAAGACTTTACATTTTTCAAACCTATTTTGAGACTTTAGAAGACATTTTAAGGACTCTTGTAACAGTACTGTACACTGTAACAGTATACTGTGGCTAGATGCTAGCTAGTAGCACAGTGAGACAATTCTTCAAAATTTGTTCCTACAGTGAAAAAACAATTAAAAAGCAATGAAGAATTCAGACCTTAGAGATTTTACAAAGATGGATATGCTATGATCCATTTAAACCCAAGGCATTTATTGAGATAGTAATAAGCTAAATATATACATAATCATCGTTGACAGGGCACTACTGGGAGGAGTCTGTGCCAAACCCTAAATTTATACTTGCAAATAATTCTGTTTTTAAAAAACTCTTTTTTTTTATTTCTTTTAAAGTGATGTTGACAGATCATGAGTTTGATTTGTAAGCAAAAAAGAAAAAAAAAAAACTTTCTTCAATAAACGCTGTCCCACATTTTCATGTCTCTACCGAAGTTTTAGCATGTGAAACACAGATGTTCTGCAGTAAAATAAACTGTTTTTTGTGTTTTAATGAAAAACATGATGATTTTATGTGTGTACAGCTATTCATCGCTGTGTTTGCTGGTTTCTGAGTTCTCCTCAAAATAACCTAAAATTCTCACGACCGAAACAGTCACTACTGAAACACTTGGTGAAGTTTGGGTAGAGTTACGATTGTTTTGCTAGAGACAAAATGGAACATTCAATCATTTGTTTAGATAAAATAAACATAATTAAGGTACAGCGTCACTCAAAGCAAAAGGACCTCAGTCTGAAGTCCAAATCAGTCAAAAAATATAAAATGTGTTTTCATTTTAGACTTTAAACCAATTTGGTAGAATCATCCATACACAACATTCAATAACTTCTCAAAAATGATTTCTACCTTTTTATTTAAAATGGCAATAAGCAGAGAACGTCTGGCTGTCTGAGGAAACACAACGGCCTGTATTCAAAACCTGGAAAAGGGTGGGCTGCACTGGAAAGGTGAGGCAGGACGAGCTAAAGTCACAGAGAGGCAGCTGCTGGTCTACGCAGTGCAGCAGAAGTGCAGCATTAGAGCGTGAGGGAGGCGGCGTGCGGTGGACACACACACACACACACACACACACACACACACACACACACACACGCACCACCACCTCTCTGATTCACTGTCCTTATTAAAGCTAATCAGGCCGAGACGCTGCCTGTCAGCAGCAGGTTCACACGCGGCTCACGCTGACACGCCGGTTACGCGCTGACTCACGTTTCCTCTGAGTCACAGGACACAGAGCAGCCATTGATGTCCGGGAGAAGCAGTCACAGCAGCCGAAGCTGTGCTGATCTGCAGATCTGCTGCTAATGAATAAACCTGAGGGCTAAAGACCTCTAATACACCGAGGACTGACGGACGATGTAAATGACCATTTAGGAGTTCTTTAAATTAGTGTAAATTTATCTTAAGACCACTAGATGTCAGTCTAAAGCAGGGGTCTCAAACTCAAATCACCTGGGGGCCACTTGCCAGGTGGCCTTTTCCAAGGCACGTGGTTGAAAAAAAGGAAAAAAAAAAAGGCCCCATATTTCTTTTGAACTGTATGACTTTGGAGGAATGATGCATATAATCACCTGGAGGCCACTAGCCTTGGAAAAGACCACCTGGCTAGTTGCCCCCAGGTGATTTGAGGGGCTGCAAATTAGCTTAAGCTAGATGCCCCATACACTTCACGTGTTACATTCTATGTAGCAATGTTTATCTGTATTGTCCCTGTCAAATAAATAAAATACATTTAAAAATCTGAATTGTATAAGCTTTTTCATCTATTATTTTACTTCATACTGCAAACAATAATGTATCCAATATTTTATTTCTTATATGAGTTATAACTACATTACATATACAGCGATTTGTGCGCAACTTAATCAGTGTGTATTAGAGATTCCACCATCACCACAAACCACTACTACTGCTATTATTGTTAAAATGATTATTAATAGCTATACTCGTTATAGTAGTTATAAACTCTCAAAAAAGATGGTTCTTCAAGGGTTCTTTAGTAAAGAAAATGGTTCTATATAGAACCATGAACACTCAAAGGACCCTTTGCATGATTAAAGGGTTCACTACATTGTGAAAGCGTTCTTCAGATTGATGGAGAATGTGCTAAGTTCTATGTAGAACCTTTTTGCACCCAAAGGGTTCTTCTATTGATACGATGTCAAGCTTATAACAACAGAAGAACCCTTTTGAGTGCTAGACAGAACGCTTTTGATTGATAGAAAATGTGCATGGATGTGCTATAGACAGTTCTATATAGAACCTTTTTGAGAAGGGTTCTATATAGCACCAAAAGGTTTCTTTTCTAATTATAAGCTTGACATCATAACAATAGACATACAAAAAGGTTCTATGCAGAACCATCTACAGCACATTCTCCATCAATCTGAAGAACACTTTCACGATGCAATAATGCAAAGGGTTCTTTAAGTGTTCATAGCTCTATATAGAACCTTTTTCTTTAATAAGGATCCCTTGAAGAACCATCATTTCAAGAGTGCAGTAAAATAGTTCAGATGAATCAAGCAAACGTACATTTAACAGTAGTATGTTTGTTGTTTAGCTGCACAAAACAAAAACAAAACAAAACAAAACAAAACAGGATTTGCAGGAGGGACTGAAGGATAATGTCCATCTATGATGAGCCGTATGAAGCTGTCCTGTGGGCTGGATGTGGCTCGTGGGCTGGTAGTTTGAGACCCCCAGTCTGAGGAGGCGAAGCTGGATGAGGTGAGGTGACCTAACTGTAGGTTGGTGATGCTTTACCTGCCGAAACTTTGCTCGGGCCTCCTTCTCTTTCATCCTCCCGTGAGCCACCAAGTAGTCAAACACTTCACCTACGACGAAGAGACAGTTTTACCTGAGCGTCAAATTAAAAGCATGAGAAAAAATTCATTTTACTACATTTGTGACCTGCAAATTAACGGTTGTTTAATTTTCATCAACTAAAAACCCATTTAAAATGCGATTTTGAGGAAATCTGCACTTTCCTGGAGTTCTACACATCTCACATCCCCCTTTCCAAAAAAAGAACAGAACCACATACGGAACAGCTGGATCCAGATCTGAGCAGCGCTCTGACAGTGTTTCATCTACACTCTTAAAAAAGATGGTGCTTCAAAGGTTCTTTAGTAAAGAAGTGGGTCTATATGGAACCATGAGCACTCATATAGAGGGTTCTATATAGAACCACTTTGAAAATGGCTCTATAAAGCACCCAAAAGGGTTCTTCTATTGTTATGGTGTCAAGCTTGTAACTAAAGAAGAACCCTTTTGGGTGCCATATAGAACCCTTTTCAAAAAGGTTCTATACAGAACCGTGAGCACTCAAAGAAACGTTTGCATGATTAAAGGGTTCTTTGCATCATGATAGGTTCTTCAGAACGCTAAAGAATGTGCTGCAGATGGTTCTATATAGAACTGTTTTGAAATTGGTTCTATATAGCACCCAAAAGCGTTGTTCTATTGTTACAGTGTCAAGCTTGTACCAACAGAAGAACGCTTTTGGGTGCTGTATAGAACCCTGTTCAAAAAGGTTCTATATAGAACCGTGAGCACTCAAATAACCTTTCGCATGATTAAAAGGTTCTTTGCACCATGAAAAGGTTCTTCAGACTGATGTAGAATGTGTTGTATATGGTTCTATATAGAACCGTTTTGACAATGGTTCCATATAGCACCCAAAAGGGTTCTTCTCTTGTTAGTGTCAAGCTTTTCAAAAAGGTTCAGATTTATGCACATCTTCCATCAATCTGAAGAACCCTTTCATGATGCAAAGAGCATTTTAATCACACAAAGGGTTCTGAGTGATCATATATCTATATAGAACCATTTTCTCTACTAAAGAACCCTTGAAGCAGCATCATTTAAGAGTGTAGAGATTTAAGTTACCTTGTTAAAATAAAGTTTCAGTCTTAGTTTTAATAATTCATTCTAAACACGTTTATTGCGTCCCGTTGTTTACAGTGCTGTCAGACTTCAGTTAAGATAATAATTTAATTAACTCACCTCCGCTGGCATATTCCATCACTAAATAAAGCGTCTTCTCCGTCTCGATTACTTCAAATAACTTAACTGCAAATGAAAGAAACAGGAGACATGATTACACAAAGCACTGCAGCTGAGAACGTGGTAGAACACAGAACTATACTGGAAACTAATCCCTCCATAAAATGTAAATATAACGAGATTAAGCAGTGATGGGCATTTTGGGCAAACAAACTGCTGTTTTGGAGTGACTTAACCCTTTTGTTGCCATATGGAGGCTAAAGCAGAGAGCTAATAGCAGGTTGTACAGTGATCTGGCTGTGTGTTTGTGCTGTATTTCTGGGTTGTGGGCTGTTAGAGCTGGTTTCTCTCACTCTGGCTAGTGATGGCAGGTTCCTCTGAGTGTTCCGGTGTGTGAATCATGTCGCTATTTTAACCCTTTGTTTAAAAATGTAGAGATGTCATAGTAGCGAGCGGGTTTTGGGTGATTTTGGAGCTGGATTTCTGGCTGATGGACGGTCACAGGTGGATGAAATCACTCTGGATGGTGAGGCAGAGTCTGATGAGTGATCTGATGTTGAATCACGTCACTGTTTTAACCCTTTGTTGGAATATGAAGGGCAAAAACAGAGCAAAAATATCAAGATTTTGGGAGATTTTTCTGAGCCGACTTACTCACTGATGCTGACGTTGCAGCCTGAAGACGTCACGCTAGCTGGTCAGAGCCGTGTCTATTAAATGTCCTGATATATGTATCAGGTCTGTAGCTTAAGCCATTCTGAAGCTATGAAGACTAGAAGTGACGCACGTTTTTGCCCGCAAATTGCAGGCTTCAGGTTCTAACGGTAAAGTGAGTCACGAAATCAATTTGCAAAAATTAATGAATCAAATTTTCCATCTACACACAAACAGTTTTGATAATCTAATCTTGTCACTTAGGCCATGGGCATCTCAGAAACTCTTAGCTGTAAATAGATTGTTATACTGGATCAAATTAAAACCTACATGGCTCAATTCACTTAAACAAGCAGAGAGAACAGACTCAGTAAAGTGAAGCACACTGCCCATCACTAATGAACAGCTCAGAATTAAACTCTTAAACTCCACGGTTCCACAACACACTTCGTCATGTTCTTTACTTCATAACTCATATTTCATAAGCTGCATTCAAAAGGTGGGTTTAATATGAGAGCTGTGACTCTCTTCTTTCCAGACAAACAGACGAGTAATGTAAATATTTGGATATCTAATGAAAATGTGGCTTCAAATAAGCCATATACTGTGACTGTAAGCTACAAAATACGAAATACAATTATGTAAATTCATATTAAACACAAACCTGAACTCCAATGTGTACAAATCATACACATCAAATGAAAGAGCCGGTTCTTGGGATTGTGAATATATACATTGTAATTCTGTAAGACGATCCAACTCTGAGTTATTGCAGAGAATATATAACTCTTGTCAGAACAAAACCTCCCCAAAATGGTAACTTTACAGGAGAGGGAAAAAACCTACTTTACTTTAATGTAAGTCAATGGAACCAGACTTTTTTCCAAGTCATTTTGGGCCAATTCTTTTGGTTCATTCGTCATGAAATTTACACACAATGTAAAGGACAACAGACATTTTCAGATTATGCCAAAAACTGAAAAACGACAAAAATGGAGATTTCTTCCGACAGCAGTGATATGCCATTCATTAGCACTGTATTACAACATTTTTTATTAGACCTCAACTTCAGGCTTTTTTAAGATAAAATATAATAATAAGGCACATACCTATATTGGGATGATTTAAGATCTTCATTATTCGGACTTCTCTAAAGAGCTGTTGAAGGAAACAGTGAGAAATTAGTACTGTGGTCATTCCTGGCAGAAATGAAAGGTCATCAATAAAGGGTGGAAACAATTCTACTTGGCAAAGACATTTCATCTTAATGCTCACTCAAGCACACGTTCAAAAACCAAGACAAATATTTACACCTCATTTAAAACCGTGCTGCTGATTTTCACTGACCTCTGCTAAACAAAACCGGACTGTCCATTAACCAACTCAAAATGATGAGGCTTAGGCTACGTTTACACAGCAGGTAAAAGTGGCTCAAATCCGATGTTTTTCCTCAAATGTAACACAGACATGTCATTTGTGTCTGAACAGATAAACACACTGAATCTGACGTTTTCAATTCCAATTTGAGACGCTTTCATATGTGGTACTGAAATCCGATCCGTATCCTAAATGCGGCAATGCGACTCAGTCCGAACTGCAATTCATGCAACTTTTACGTCAATCCAACTTAACACTCATGATAATTTTGCGCTGCTGAGACTCAAACATTTAGGCCGATGATTCTGTACCAAAAAATTAGAAGAGATTAGTCCAAAACCCTCCGTGTTTGAAGGGATTTTGAAAGAAATGTCCGAACGCGGCTGGAGGAGAACGAGGCTGCAGCGTCAGAGAACAGTTAAAGTCTGAAAGCAAAGTTTAAATAATCCGAGGACGCGAGCCAAAGAAGTGACCGCGCCCTTTTTACGGTGAGCTGGAATAGATTCTGGGTGATGAGCCCAGCTGTCAGTCAGTGAAGCTTCATGATGGCTCCTTTGATGCTGGTGAAGATGAAGCTGATCCTCCGGGAGCGACTGGCGTTCGCTGGCAGCCGTGATTGTTTACCTCTGGATGAGCCGTGAAGCTCTGTTCTTTTACTCACGCGGGTCGGTTTAGGAGCTGATCTGTTCAGACTGATGTCGCATACAGATCACATTTAAAAGACAATGTGAACAGCCAAACAAAAAAAAAAATCGGATTTGGTGAGAAAATCAGATTTGGGCCACTTTTACCTGCTGTGTGAATGTAGCCTAAGACCCATGTTTCATGGCACATGACACAAGGCCCGCGGGCCAAGTCTGGCCCGTGAGACAGTCCTATTCGGCCTGAGAAATTATTTTAACTCTCTATTATTATCTATTATTATTAGCTCATTTCACCATTAGATGCACAACACTCCCCAGCATGCACTGCAACACAGTATCCGTTCTGACCCCCTTCTCCCAACAACAATCTCTGGGCCAGTGGTTACGCAAACAGAAAAGATGCCTGGTGTCTAGATCAAACAGGCAGTTTTAAAAAGAACTACCTAAAACCTTTTATTTAGAATTATTTTTGAATTATGTAATTACTGAATTATTGAAGTATTTAATAAAAATAGTGGTTGAGTTTGACCCCCCTGGTCTAAGAAATGACAGAAAAAAAAACATACACAGAAAATCTCATTTCACCATCCTGATCACAGCTCAGAAACTCATAAACAGCAGCAGAAACACCCATATAAATATGTATGCATGAACACATTTAATATTCTATCAGATATTATACTGAATATTCAAATATTCTCTAAGGATAAGAAAAGCTTGAGAGTTTTTAGTTTGCTTTTCGATGTGATTGTGTAAGTTCTATTAATTTATTTAGCTTTTTTGTGTGTTTCAATAAAACGTATTTTCAATACAACAAGGTAATAAAAATACCTTATTGATAAATAAATATTTTTACAGAAAGGTACATCAAATGCCAATCCACCCAATCTGGGAACACAAGCGGTTGCAGGTGCTGTTAGAACGTGTCAGCGACGAGCGGTGCAGCGAGTGACCACAGTTCATATTCTACAACCACTTTATAGCAGAGCGGGTGCTGATCTCAGCTGTGTCTGTCTTAACGTCGGCACAGTCTGTTCGTTCTGCTAGCTACCAATCAGAAGCAGCGGAAAACCTCTTTGTACTGCACGGGGCGAGGTATCCGCTCAAATTAGAACAACACTACATCTAACGATCATGGAGAGTCTGGTGGGTTTCGTCGCTCAACATGGCCAAGAATCACCTGCTTCAACAGCGAGAGGCCATTTCACTGACATCAAAATGGCAAGCAGTTTATTTAGATGCTCTTTAGATATACTATAAACACCGATCAGGCATAACGTTCTGACCACCTCCTTGTTTCTACGCTCATTGTCCATTTTATCAGCTCCACTTACTATATAGGTGCACTTTGTAGTTCTACAGTTACAGACTGTAGTCCATCTGTTTCTCTGCATACTTTATTAGCCCCCTTTTACCCTGTTCTTCAGTGGTTAGGACCCCCATGGACCCTCACAGAGCAGGTACTTTTTGGGTGGTGGATCATTCTCAGCACTGCAGTAACACTGATGTGGTGGTGGTGTGTTGGTAGTTTGTGTTGTGCTGGTCTGAGTGGATCAGACACAGCAGTGCTGCTGGAGCTTTTAAACACTGTGTCCACTCACTGTCCACTCTATTAGACACTCCTACCTTGTCAGTCCACCTTGTAGATGTAAAGTCAGAGATGATAGCTCATCTGCTGCTGCATGGTTTGCAGTTTAGTCATCCTCCGGTCCTTCATCACGCGTATGTTTGCATAAAGCAATACATGTTGTGTATATAGGTAATGTTCCTCCCACATGGTGCAACTGAATAAACATCGGCCCAAGGGTGCCATAACCATCCTTGGTCATGAGTCCAAGAGGGCATAGCTGGCCTCGCTCTCTCTGGGTGGGCAGGATGGCCCTCCCCTCTCTCCGCATCACTCAATGCAATGCTAGCCAACGCAGGCGTCTGTTAGCTGATGTAACAGAACTGGCAGTAACTGCTCTCTTCCAAACGAGTTCAGGGGTCAAATGAGTCTCAGTCTGCAAAGATACAGTGACTTGAAATGACTCCCAGCTTGGCAGGACTGCATGACGGGGGGGAAATGGGGAGAAAATCGGGGGAGAAAATTTATCAAACAGTCATTGCAGCCTTAGATCAAACTATCCTCCGCAAGTCTTAGAACATTTGCTTGCTTATGCAATCAGCATCCCTAAGAAAGATGCAGAGAATGCTGCCTCTTCAAGTGAGCAGGGAGCTGACTCAGAGGCTGGCCCAAAACGAGCCTGGCCCAAAGCACGGAAGGAAGCCAACATTAAGTGAGCTGTAGTGTGGAGATCCAAGATTGGTAGGCTCAGCTCATCAGCAGAACGGGATTAGTGACAAAACATGCAGGGATCAGGCCTCAGTGGAGGAACAGGATCCTGCGGGATGCGGGCTCTAATTCCTGCGGTACACAGATAAGGAGTGGAATTACACGTTCTCCGACACGACGCTGCTCCAGAGCCTGGAGACTCGCAGACTCCATCACTGCAACTGAACACACACACACACACAGCTGCAATGACATCATTGCAAAATACGTCCTAAAAAAGCCATCCACAAACAATTCGGTCAAGATAGAATCTCGGCAAATCTGACCAAGTAGTACAGGGTTCATTCGCTTTAGCCATTTTCAAATCTCCTACGGTTTCAGTCACGGGATTTTTCTGTTGTTGCCGCCATATTTGTGACGGTATTTCTGGTTTTGCTGCTCCGCACAAACGTAACTAAAAGTGAAAGACGGCTAAAATTACTGATTAAAAGCTACCAAATATGTGTTTTCCTGATATATTAATCTCTTACTCAGCTCCTCTCCCTATTCTGGAGGGTCTTTTAGAGCATTTAAAAGCACAGAAGCCCACTGGCTCTTCTTGTCAGGGTGGGTAAAGGATCCCATGGTGTTCATAAAGGGGAGGTACACTCTGTCATCATAGGAGGGTAACGACACCAGCTAATTAACACAGATGTGATCAATGCTGGCCTTTAGATAACTTTAGCTGATGTTATCAGCCGAGAGATGAACAGTCGCCCCAACGGAGCTGCAGACAGCCGGTATAATTTTACTCTCTGTTTCTGATTTAAATGACGTCCGAATGGAGAAACATGAACGTTAAATATCAGACTGAATGTCGTGGGCCGGAAAACGACGTCGTGTTTCGACAGACGTGATTCTGTAAGTTTGCTAGTTCAGTTAGTTCAGAGTTCAGCTCCAGTCCTGAAACCCCTGCACTGCATAACTGTGGTTTCCTGGTTAAAATACCTGATATTATTAGCTAATTAATCCCTTCTTGAGCTGAACGAGGTGAGAACAGCAGAAACACTAAACTGTACAGTGCAGCGGCTCCAAGCCTGGAGTGAAAACTATTAATTAAAGGTCTGTGTGTCTCTCGTCTCTCGGCTTCTGTCGCGTCTTGCAGGTGAATCATTCACACAGCACAGCTAATTATAGGCTTTTCTGTTTATTTGCTTAACTGTCTCACTTCATGGTATTTTTTTTAAGATAATCTTGAGAAGATTTCAATAAAATGTAAATATTCTAAGACTCAAGGTTACGTCAATGATCAGAAATGCTCTGATCTTTTCAAGCAGCTGAAAAACCTTGATAAAGAATCTAAAATATGGTCATTCTCCTGACTCACTCCTACCACATCCATGTCAGAGCACATCACAGTATTCAGACACCAGCTAGCAGACGACTGGGTTTCTCTATACTATCATAGTAGTTTGAGGGGTGAACTGCAATATATCTGACGCTCTCTGTGTAAAAGTATTAACTGCAGTGTGAATCTCTCACACCAGACAAACAGAGTCCTCCTTTTAGCTACGTTCAGACTGAAATGTCTTGTTTGATCTACAGTATCATCAATTCTCTGTGCTGTGTGAGTGACGGAGCGCTGCTTTACGTTAGCCAGCTGCTAGAAACAGCTAGCCTAGGAAGCTAGCGTTCACCCACTCTCCAATGCCTCACAGCATCCTCAGTTTACTTTAGTTTAAATCAGGGCTGTAATTAACATGAACCCACTTCTTTCTTTCACTTTTCTTTCTTGGGAAAGCACTAATACTGAAATATGACTGTGCGCTGTAACAGTGCTTTAGCTGTGAGGATCAGACGTGATTTAACGCTGCTAAAGCTGG